ATAAGGGGACCCGGCAGTGCTGAGCTCAGAACTGAAGCTCCTGCATGCAAAGCATGTGTTACAGCAATTTGACATTATGGGTCATTGTCTTTTTTAAAAAAAAAAAAGGAGAAAATTTGAATTGAGGATCTGGGAGAAGGTTCAAAGAGGGCAAGGCCAGAAAGCTGGAGTAAGTATTAAAGTGAAGAGCTTCCACTCTGTATAACACCCAGTCATGCTACTCCACAAAGGATCATGGGAGAGTAACAGTCTTGTCTGGGCCAGGTCAGAACCTTGTCCCAGGGAGCGCTGTGGGGTCACATGAGGAAGAGGAAGAGAAAGTTTTATCAGATTCTGTGCCAGGCTGGGCCTCTTGCAGCCCACAGAGCGTGCTGAGTGAGCCTGTGGCATTGCCTAGGTTTGGAATAAATGCCCTAAGCTTCTGCAGGGGTGACTGAAAAAAAAGGTGAGGAGCTGGCATGTTCAATTCCTCTCTCCCCCAGCTCACACCTCCAGGAGAGGGGCCTGGGAATGGACTACAGGGGAGCAGCCAGCTTTGGACTTCTAGTGACTGTCTCGTCCCCACTTCTCCCCCTCATGGGGGCACCTAGACCTGTACCCTCAAAGCCCCAGGAGGTGTGTCCATTGACCCATTTCATAACCTACCATTTAAGTGATGACAAGGGACTGTCCTTGTCATACCCATAGAAACTCTCCTTTTAAGCCCCAGTGAGTCCATATCACCTTTCAGAACACCCTGGAATGCCCAGGAAAGATGTCCTTCTTATCACAGTTCCTGGAACAAGGTAGTAAATGGTTTTCCACAGTGGGGTGAGAAATATGGGGCTCCTACCCTCCATGCCTCTTATTCCATGGTCGACCATGGAGTTTAGTCTAGCGTATCCCAATTTAGATCAGCTCTTTGACTGACAGGAAGCCGCCACTCAACCATGACTCTTTCCTGGGCCACCAGGGCTGCTGATGCTAAACCGGGGGATGTCTCAGGCAAATCATGTGCTCCAGCCCTTGGAACTATCTCCCCAGGCCCAGTGTGGGATGCACCCTTTAAATTTTGAAAATTACTTAAGTTCAGTGACTCGGCCAGATCTTGATGCTCCATGAACAGTTGTTATTCATTTCTTTTTGTCCTCCTAAGCTGGCGGCAGAAAGCCCGGCCCAGGTTTTGCTGGACAGAGAATGACTGTGAAGGCACTGGAATCTCTCCACCAAGGCAGCTGCTCAGCGAGAAAATGGATTGTCTACAGCTTTACCAGGGTTAGAGCCCAGAGTTGAGTAGGAAGGGAGTAATTCATCAGGACCTTAGCGGAAGAATAAAGTGCTCATGCAGACTGGCCAAGATTAACTAATAGTGCCAGAACATTTTCCCCCCACGTGACGTCCACATTTACAACCTGATGATACAATGATAGAAAGACACATAAAACAGCTATTTTTCTTGGCATAGAGCCCTACCATAAACCTGGATATCTTTAAATAACCCACTTGCAGCCATGCTCTTGGCTTTGCCTAAGAATTAATGTAAGTCACCAAATTGCAGCATAGATTTCTGCTCAGTGTATTCCTGCCAGTTTCAGGGATCAAGAATGTTGCCTCTCGCCCAGGCAATCTTAAGATAGAAAACCATAAAACTGGAAGATAGACGAAAATGGCCAGATTTGGTTGTGTGAGCTTGTAGGGTATTTAGACAAAGAGCAATGAAGTGGTGGAAAGATAAAACCTCACTTGTCATATCAAGGAAAGTGCATCTGTAAAAGTATGCAATTCCCGAAGACTCCTGCAGGAATAAGAATCAGCCTTCATTCGTTTCCCATTAATGCACAGCTAAGAGCTCTGGAGCTGGACAACGTGTGGACACACAGTCATGCCCAGGGGGTGCTCTGAGCCGCTGCCATGCCCCATTTCCCCAAAGAACCCGCCTCCAGCTTGTCTGCCTTGTGCTTCATTCTCTTCCTATTATTGATTTCTCCCTTCACTAGTTCTTCTCTTCAGAGGGACCTCCCAGCGCTACTTCCCTTATGAGTTTGGGCTGTTCAGAATTGGAAGAACTGTCAGCGAGATAGCCTGGGGGATCAGGGGCTTGTATCTTGCATACACAAGGGCCCCCTGTGGAGCATCGTGATGGGCAGTAGAGCAGATAAGACCCAAATCGTGAAGCAGCGCACAAGTAAAGCCTTGCAAGAGGGAGTATCTGGGCAAAGTTGGCAAGAACAGGGTGCCAGCCAGCACTGGGTGATTTGCCCTTGAGCCTCACTCAACCCCCTAATTACATGCACCTAAGACACAGAAACTGTCATGTTTGCTTAGCAGGTCATCCTAACCTCAGCAACTAGCCTGAACTGTGATTGGACCCGGGCAAAGCAAAGTAGGAGAGCTGATAGGCAAATAATGCTAAACTTTCTGTGATTGGACCTTTCTGTAAGCCAAGTCCCTCTATAAAATATGTGTGTATTTGGCAATAAAGTGAACAGCCATCAGCTGCTCCCAGAGGGTGATTCTCCAAGTATCCGTCATCCTTCGCCCCACGTCTGCCTGGACCTGGTGCGCACGTGTTCGGGCACATTGGGGAAAAGCTGTTCCCTGACAGGCCCCAATTTGACCTCGAGCACATATCTGCTCCTCCCCTCCTTCCCCCCAGCATCACCAGGTATAATAATGCTATAGGCCCCGATTACCCTGGGGGTGGCAGTCGTAGACTCTGAGCATCAACAGGGTAATCCTGGTGGCTCCCAGCACTGCCAGATCATAGTTGCATCACATCACACCCCCCGCCCCCAGTACTGAACATCTGGCCTTGTCCTTCTTAGCCAAGTTACCAGTATCCCGACTGGGAGAGACTCCAGGGCTCTCCTATATCCCCCCACACTTCTTTGGAGCAACTACCTCCCTCAATGATAAAAATCAGAAGAAAGAGAATTTGCAAAACTGAATGAAAAGACTGTGGCCTTTAGCTGTCTATTTACACCCTGTCTGTAAACACCTTGTCTACATCTAGTAATGAATCGCCCTTGTGAATGGGCAAGTCGCTGAAAGTCTCATTTTCATCTACACATCGGAGATGGATACAGGAATTGCTTAGACTTTCCTCAAGCTCCCTCTTTGATTTTTAAAATAAGGTAAATTAATTAATGTGCATTTTTCAATTGAAGAAATGATTAAGACCCAGCTGTGTCTGCAAAATTCTAAGTTTTGATGCAACACTTGGGACTTGTTAAGGCTTTTTTTTTTCTGGCATGAAGAGGAGAAACTTAGGTATCTAATATTAAGTGGCATTCAGAAAAGCACAAGTTAGCAGTTTGCTTGCCAAATTAACTTTAAAAGACATTTAAGTTACTAAGTTTGACTTTGCAGAAATCTCAAATGATTGATGGACTACTGTAAAATCACTTTGTTTTTTTTTAAAAAAAGATACTCTTTGGCAGGCTACTTCAAAGGTCTTACTACTCTGGAAAGATGAAAAGATATCCTATTTCACATTAATTTCCCTGAAAGATCAACACGTTTGAAATATGCCTGAGAATTACATGGTATTTACTGTACTGATTCTTTTTTTCACCATATCCAGTAGCCAGTCAGATGGGGTTGCTTCTACTTAGAAGATTTGGAAGAATCTTTTGAGACATAAACAGCATCTTAAATATATATATATATATACAGATGGGCAGAAGTGTCTATCTGGCATTACTCATTCACTCTGATTTCACTACCAGGTAGTTTCTGAGACAGAAACAGATGCAGTTCCCTGTAAGTCGACAGTCCCATCTCAGAGTATGGTTTCAGGCCCCCCCCCCAACCCACCCGGTCTCCTGACAGTCACAAAGGGTTCAATTCTTTTACTTCCAGCCTGATTTGTGCAGTTTTGTTTATGTCTCAGGTCACTGCTGAGCTGCATAACCCAAGGGGTGGGCAGGGGGAAATCTCAACCAAGATCAAACAGATAATGGGAATTAGTGAACTCAATGGGGCCATTGATAGGGGTTGGGTGTCTGTGTGTATGTATGTGGTATATGAGTATATGCCTGCCCTCTGTGTGTTGTCTATATAAATGTGGTGTATATGTCTGTATTTCTGTGTTGAAGGTGAAGGACACTGTAGAATGTGATGTGCACATGCACACACACACGTCTTGGAGACTGGAAAAAATGGTGCGAGGGGGAAACTTTGATCAGTACAAGACAGATACTCTGATTTTTTGTTTTTCACTTTTTTAGTTAAAAGGAAAAAAGGTTAGAATCTCCTTATTTTTCAGTGTTGGTAACTACTTCCAGTACTTGAAAAGATGCTAGGTTTGCTAAATAGGGCATACTTTGGAATGCAAATACATTATGGTTGGCCAAACAGGCACACAGAATGGTCTCTATTGGTGTTTCTCCAAGTGGACAACCCCTCCCACCCCCACCTCCAGGGATGCTGGAACAATGGGCGGAAGGCATAGTAGCCTCCCATGTAATTGGGGGACAAAAACTTTCTGTTTTTTTGCTTAAGGAAGGTAGATTTCCAAGGGAACAGCTGAGTGATTTTTTTTTTCTGAAAAGGGGAGGTAGGACAAATAAATTTGGGAACCTCTGCTCTAGATGCTATATATCTGCTTAGTAGAAGGAAAGTGTTTCCCTTAAAGAGGAACAAACAAAAATCAGCTTTCTCAGCTGTCCACTTGCTTTGGAATGAACTCCAGTTTCTTGATTGCAAAGTACCCACCATAAATGATTTGCAGAGATCTCTGGACAATGGAGCTGAGGGTGCATGTTCGTGTTTGAAAGCAGCCTGGCAAAGGGGCTCAAGTATACCTTGAGGGAATATGCACAGAGGGAAACAGAGGGAGGTTCCTTAAGTAAAATACAGCCTTGAGATGGCCACATTGGGGAAGATTGGAAGCAGAGCCTCTTTCTCTTACAATCATCTTCAAGGCCATTTCGTAGCAGTGACTAAAATTGGCTTACAAAACAAAAATGATAATAGTAATAGTAATGGTAATGATAATAAGCATTCTTTGTACTTTGCAGGGTGAAGTAGAGAAATAAAGTCTCCCCGCTGAACTACTATGAGGTCAGAAGCCTTGCTGCTCTATTTCACACTGCTACACTGTGCTGGGGCTGGCTTCCCAGAAGATTCTGAGCCAATCAGTATTTCGCATGGCAACTGTAAGTACATACACGCTCCCTCCTGCGCTCCCTCTGCGGCCCTTTGGCCTGCCTCCATCAGCAGCTCCGAAACATTACACTGTTAATGCAATAGGAACTTAAGTCCGTTTAGCATGTGCAGATGGCAGGGGTGGATGGGATAAAAAGGGTCATGCAGATACCCATGGGCATGAGCATTGTAAACTGCCCATTCCTCCATTCATCCATTGCTCTTTTTCTACTGGAGGTTTCATGTTGTTTGCTTCAATTATGAGATGATCATATCTGAATCCAGCTTGGAGATGATACTAACCTTACTTTGGTAGTGCCCCGATTGCCCACTTTCTTACGCGATTTCTGTCCAAACAATGGTCCAAGATAGGAAGGCGAAATATGAAGTCTGTTTGGAGTACTTCTGAGACAAGCATTTAGATGTACAAGTTCTATCACTGTGACACTGGTAGAATGTTTCTGAATTCACAGGGTTCCTATCTTTACTGTGCTAATTCTCTTTGAGGTTCCACTTCACTATCAAGAGTAGCAGAAGTAGGGCTGAAGCAATAGTACAGCAGGCAGGGCATTTGCCTTGCACATGGCTGACCAAGGTTCAATTCCTAGCATCCCATATGGTCCCCCCAGCACCGCCAGGATTCATTCCTGAGTACAAAGCCAGGAGTATCCCCTGTCATCACCGGGTGTGACCCAAAAAGCAAAAAAAAAAAAAAAAGTAGCAGAAATAGAAAGCAAGGTGGTTAAGAAATCCATTAACTCCTGGAAAGAGGAAAGTCCTACCTGAGTATTGACTGGAACTGCCAAAGTACTACTTTCCCCACCTTGTTCTCTCAAAATTCAAAACATTTCATCATGGTAAAGATAAAAGAGATAATTTCCCCACACATACCCCTCCAATATTTGTTTTCCTCGGTAACTAACAAGTAAGCAGCATATGAACCATACAAAAGGTGTTTAACTGCTATGATCCTCATGAGTGCCATCAGTGTCCAGCAGAAGGTGGATTGATGTTTTGAGATGGGAAAGAGCTAACTTTTTCCTGAGAGTAAGGAGGCATGCATACAACCATGAAAGAATGGAAGTCATGGCAAGAGGAAAGCCTAAACTGGGGAGTTCAAGACCATCACTCTTGAAATCAGAGAACCTTGGGAGCTCCAGGGATGGGGCCTTAGGTAGCATTACTGCTTTCTGCTGAGATGGGTGTCTGCCCTGTTTGTAACAACAGATAGCCCAAATGTGCTGCTAAAAACCATACTTCAGTAGGCACTCAAGCCCTTGCTAGCAGGGAGATGTGAATTCTTTAAGCAAGCTCCTGGATGAGTGGGTAAACGAAATATTTGCTCCAAACAGAGGAGCAGAGAGCACAGATAGAGGCCATGCCAAGGATGACTATGAAACACTGGGATTCTCACATGAGATCCCCATATTGAAGGATCTTGGAGACCACAGGGCTGCACAGTGTAAAGGTCTGAGCCTAAATATGTGAATGATTTTTCAAGTCCTTATTTACTCACCCTGAAAAATAACTGCCTTTTAAAAGGGATTCATCTTCCTTCCTTGGCTTCTTTGGAAGATTGCCAGACCTCTAAAACCGAGAGGTTGAAAGACAGATTTTTTTTTTTGAGCCATAGGTATTTCCAAAGGTCAGATAGTCAGATATTATTACAAATTGCTCCATCTCAGCCTAACAGAACTGTGGGAAAGAAGAGATATTGCTCATCAACTGCCCAGGTCAGGGAAAATTCCAGATTGACTGACTGGCTACACTCCATTTGACCCTGTCCTGGCCCAGCCCCCCACTTCTGGAAGATTAGCCAATGGTTCAACTCAAGAGTGAACTTCCCACAGTTCCTAGAATGCCAACCACCCTCGCGGGGCTGCCTTCAATAGTGGATTATTCTAACTGGACGCCTGTGGAGACTGTATTTTTCTTCTGGCTCCAGGATGAGGGCCTTCGCCTGCAAACCACATTGCCTTTGTGGAGATTGATGGAAAGGCTGCTTTGAAATAGTTTTGTCCCGAGACAAGATCTTTGGCAGACTGCCTCTTGGGCTTAGCACTCTAAAAAGATGAAAAGAGAGCTGTGGAAGAAAGGAGCACCTTCATGGAATGGGGTTCCTTTGCAAGTTTAACCCCTGAAGGAAGGACAAGTCAGAAAGGGGGACACTCAGAAATCTAAGTACCGACTTATTCTCTTCTGGAAATGCAACCATAACTCGATTGTCCCATGGGAGCCTGTTTCCACCCTAGCATTGGCTGAAATGACAGGCTTTGTGGGTGCGGTGCATGGTGGCATGGTTGATCTGACTTAAATCCGCTTTTGTTCTGTGCTCTGACCCCTCCTCTCCCTGCTCTGTCAATTCTTGGCTTCCTTCCCCCGCCCCCTCTTGCCCCATCTCCGCTTTTCACAGATACAAAACAGTATCCGGTGTTTGTGGGCCACAAGCCAGGACGGAACACCACACAGAGGCACCGACTGGACATCCAGATGATTATGATCATGAACCGAACCCTCTACATTGCTGCTAGGTGAGTGGCCTCTTCCTCCAGGCTGCGCTTGAAAAGGGGTTCCAGGACTCTCCCCGGCCTCTCTTCCTGGGAGTCACTCAAAAGAATGAGACAGTCCCAGACAGAACGGGATTCCCTTAAAGCCTGCTTTTTTGTGGCAAATGACAATTCTTTCACCATTTTCCCTGCATGTTTGAGTGGATGGAGTTGGGAATAATTACATAGCTTGTAGTGTAAGTTCACATAATTCTCTGTTTATCTTTTTTTCTTCTTTTTGGGTCACACCCAGCGATGCACAGGGGTTACTCCTGGCTCTGCATTCAGGAGTTACTCCTGGTGGTGCTCAGGGGACCATATGGAATGCTGGGAATCGAACCTGGGTCGGCCGCGTGCAAGGCAAATGCCCTACCTGCTGTGCTATTGCTTGAGCCCCAATTCTCTGTTTATCTTGAAAGTATATGCAGATATTTACTGAGCAGCCAGCTCCTTGGTTCCTGTTCCTGAAATGAACCTGAATGTATGAATGTGCAGTGTGTGTGTGTGTGTGTGTGTGTGTGTGTGTGTGTGTGTGTGTATTAAACCTGTTTAAAGTTGGCAGTAAATATAGAGTATCATTATTGTAAGATAATCTATTTTAAAGGGTTTGGGTGGGAGGGCTCCATAGCAATGTTGGGGAACCCAGCCCTTCCTGGGGAAACTTTTCTGGTGGAGTAGGCTTAATGGCTCAGTGCAGGGCCTGGAGATTGGGTGCTAATGGGACCAACATACTTTGAGGCTTCTAGACCCTCCGATGCCTCTAATGGAATTGAACCCTGAGCCTCCTGCATGCCAGGCAAGTACTCTATTCCTCTCTGCCATATGCCCAGACTGGGGAGGGTTTTTCTGTTTTGTTTTTTTAATTGGGATCTAGTAAGAAAATACTCCATCAGCAGTAAAATGCCATTTAGAGAAGCCATGTCTTCCAGCCAAATGGCATGGGAAAAATTCTGCCTACAAGGGAGTCATAGAATTTCAGCTCTTGCTTTTGGTCTACCCTTAACTTCCCTGGACCACGACTTCACTGACTGTGTCTTCTGTCAAATGAGAGACTGAATTAGAGTATCTTAATGAAGTCATTGGTAGTTCTAATAGTTCTTTCCTGGAATGATTATAAATGAGTAGCTGCAAGGGGCATTATTCTGGCTAGTGTGATTGATCACATTGGAAAGAAATCGAGGTGATATTTGTGATGCTTGCTTGTAAGCATAGGTAAAGAAAAGACAAAAATAACAGTGCTTGACTCCTTCCTTCCTTCTTTCCTTCTTTCCGTTGTCCCTCCCTCCCTCCCTCCCTCCCTCCCTCCCTCCCTCCCTCCCTATAAGGGATTGAACCCTGGGCTTCCTACATGAAAGATATGTGTGGTACCACTCCATCCTGGATTTCGTCCAAGCACTTCAATGGACTGAAATGACAGTCTATGCAATATAAAGTAAAAGAAAAAACAAAAACCAAAAATCCACACATTGGCTCGGTCGAAACATCCTACAATTTCCCTATGCAAGTGCATCCTAGGGAGCAATGCCAAATCATTTTCAGCATTCTTTACTTCACAGATACTTAACAGTGCATATTAGTTATGTGTGCTCTAAAATTGCAAGTAAATTGTAATTTCCTGATGGGTTTTAATGCATTGGATCCTGGAGTAGAAAAAAAATCATAGAGAAGGAAGCAAGATATTATAAGTGATTTTGATATAGAAGCTCCTACCCTTTGTCTGATAGAAGGAATCCAAGGTATAGAGATGTGAAAATGCCAGGTGAACGTGAGAGAGATAGGATTTGAACCAGGGTGGCCTTGCTCTAGAATCCAGGCCCTTATCCCCTCTCTTATGCAGCGTCCTACACAGGAGATGAATTACCATTTGTCCTGTAATCACCTCCTCACATTCAGCACCCAAGAACACAGGCAGTGTAGACAGTCATTAAAAAGTACTAACAGTAACCAAAGAGATAATATAGTGGGTCAGTCACTTGCCTTGCATGAAGCCATTTGGGGTTTGATCCCCAACATCCCATATGTTCCCTGAAGCCTTTCCAAGAGTGATCCCTGAGCAGAGCCAGAAGTAACCCCTCCACACTGTTCGGTGTGTCTCCAAAACAAAAGCACCCAATAGTATCCCCACTCATCCGCCCTCTGGTTGAAGATCACCTCCTTCTTTTTTCATGTCTAGGTTCTGGAAGGTTTTATCAGTAATCAGTTATATAAAGGGCAATCACCGCAAATTATTAAACACTGGCTCATGTGAAACAGATTGATTCGGGAATCTTCTATAAATTGTTCACTTTGGAATTGAGTTCCTGGAAGACTATCAGAGCGATAATTCTTACATAGCCTGAGCCGCAAGTGAGGGCCACACCTGAATTAAGACCAAGGTGCTATGCAAGCCGAGAAGTGACCATCATTCCGGCTCTTTAAAAAACAAGATGAAGGAAGGAGAAAGGAAAGGAGGGAGGGATCAGTCATTATTCATCTGTTGGAAGCCCTCAAACAGCCTGGTCTTTCAGGGAAGGTCTAGTTCAACACCCAAAAGGGACTTGTTTTTCAGTCTCCACTAGCGACTCCCCTTCACCACCACACTCTTGGAAACACTCCTAAAGGAGTTCTGGGGCCACACCATATTTACAGTCTCTCCCCTCCTTTTGATGCCACATTTCCTAACATTGCCCTGAGAGATCCAGGTTCCTAGGCAGCCAGTAACAGGATTTAAAGTTAAATCCTTTCCCCAGGCACAAGCCATGGCAACACAATTCATTGGTGCTCACGGGAGGCGGGGAGAGGAAGTCTTGGGATTAGGTCAGTTTGTGTCCAAATAACTTAATTCATGAAGAGCAGCATATGAATCCTGGGGTGCACACATGGGTGGGTGGGAATAACCCCAACCCAGGCCTGTGGTTTAGTATAAAGATCTGTTTCTGTTTGCTGGGCAAGGCAATCTCTTAGATGCTGAGAAAGATTGCCATTGTTCGAAAGAAGCTTTCATTCATGGGCTTGCTTTTAAAAGTCTCCAGTTCTTGTAGATAATTAGTGTCAGCTTTCGGAAGCCAAGTCCCTTCCAGCACCCCAGGACTGAGTGAGGCTAGAACCCTTTTCAGTTTAGCTTTATTATCCATTTGTAGCACTCTCTCTGTCTCTCTCTGTGTCTATCTCTCTCTCTCTCTCTCCCTCTCTCTCTCTTTCTCTCATTGCTGTTTAATATCCAATCTGTTAATTAACATAAATAGGCCATGCCAGAAGGGGGCAATCCCAGAGCATTCTGAAGAATTGCCAATGCATATTAATCAGCTGTTAATTTACAATACAGATCGTCCAGCCCCTACTTGTTATTTTGAGGAGAAGAAGCAGGGTGAGGAAAACCAGAGAGTATCTCATACCCAATACTAAAGTAATAGGCAATCCCATTCCAATAATGAGCCTGAGCTCGACCCACAGCACCACCAATAAAGTCAAACAAGTAATAAACAAATGCAATAAAACTGCCTTGAAATTAAAGGGCAGGGTGAGTCTGGCACCCGCTGCAAGTTGGAAAAACTTCCCAGTTCAGCTGCTGCCTACACACACACACACACACACACACACACACACACACACAGGCGCGTGCGCGCTCCTACACATTTTTCAGAAGTCAGGCAAGGGAATTTTATAAGCCAAACCCCTGCTACCTCCTTTCATTTTCACGAGATAATCTGTTTTTATTTTTATTTCTCTGTTATACTTTCTCTAAAAGCGGCAGCATACAGATTTATAAAGAACCGGAGGGGAAAATAGAATTGAATCCTGGCAGCAGACAATTCCTTTCTTTCTTTCCCTTTTCCTTTCTCCCCCCTCCACCACCTTTCTTTTTAAGTAATGGGGTGGGGAGGGGGCGCGGGTGTTGAAGTCTACATGGAGCCTTGAGTTCTTGGTTTAAAGCTGTGGGTAATTTTCCAGCCCCAGGACTTCCTGCATTTTAGAAAAAGTCAATGTTATTTCAAGGGAAAATGAGCTGTTTTGCTTTCCCTTTCTAGCCCCTGTCTCCCCAGTTGAGTGTAGTTCTTTTCTTTCTTCTGAATTCCAGACAAAAACGCCCTTGTACTTGCTCACACAGAAGGGATGTTTAAATATAGCTCCACACCTGAGCTGCTGATTCTGTTTCTTCCCTTCCAAAAGGAGATTGGCAGCCAATTGTAAGCGCCAACCAAACTCGCAGTAAAACGGGTGTGCACTAAGCAAAAAAGTGTAAACTTGACTTTTTAGACCCTTTATTGACCATCATTGCATGTAGAAAACAGTGACTGCTGGAAATAATTTTACCTTAATTGTCTTCCATCTTGTCAATCAAATCATCAAAGTGTATGCTACAAATACATCTTTCACTGTGTGCGGAGGGTATGAGTGGAGAGAGAGAAAGAGAGAGAGAGAGAGAGAGAGAGAGATTCATTTTTTTGGCAGTACCATACCTCTATCCCCCCAGCCCCCATGAACAAATGTGACATGTGGAGTAACAAGTGTATGGGATATAGATTTGAAGATTCTAGAAAGGCGGTTAAACCCACCTGCATAACTTTTAGAATCCTCTCACCTAGGCTGCATAGATGCAGGTATTAGGATTTAAGAATGGGCACAGTTCCCAGGAAAGTTCTCCCTCAGAGCACAATCAGTGCGTTAGGGGCTTAAGCTGTCCCACTTTCTTGCACATGGACACTTTGTGTTTTAACGTCATAGAAATGCGTGGAGCTGCTGCCAATGAGATACCTTTCCCTTCAGGAGAAAATGGACTTTCTTGACTCTGGTGCTTGACACTGTATTGTTCATTCTTTGTTTACAGGGACCATATTTATACTGTTGATATAGACACATCACACACAGAAGAAATTTATTGTAGCAAAGTAAGTCGTTTTAAGATCATCTTTTTGAAATGTAGAACCTTAAGAATAATTCTTGAAGAGAAAATGTATTTTAAATGCATTGATTGAAGTGGTGCGGCTGATAATAATTGGGAACATTTTATGATTTCTGATTTGGGTGTCAATTGGGATTTAATTCACACTCAGAAACAGCATGCGCTTTATATTTTAGTCATTACATTCATGTGCATGAATACTTCAGAGTTTGGAGTGATTCTTAAATTCCTTTAGTGAAACAGTGACAGGTTTGTTCAGAAAAACATCCATTTTCACAAGTAAAACTTAGTTGTGTTTTACATGTGTTTAACATGTAAAACAATTGTTTCAGCATCACAGGACCATGTCTTAAATCTGATTTGACTGTAGCGCTTAAGGAATTTGCTCATTATCCATTTCAGACAGACGTAAAATATAACCTAAACTTCTCTCATTATCCACATGGAGGCATTTTAGTTAATAAAATCTGCCATAGAAGTAGACAATGCCTTCCAGGCCATGAATTTACATGGAGTGTAACCTGAATTAAATCGTTGTCCATCTAAAGTGAATGGCCCCTTTATATTTAAGAAAATGACTTCCATATTTAAAGGAAAAAGGCCTGCTTTATGAAATTTGATTTATCAACTAAAATGAAAAGCCAAGGTCATATGTTTGATCTAAATAAGCATAATTTACCAGTTCATTTAGGTATTTTATATGAAATTTCCACACTGCTGTTTATTCTTTCTTTCTCCTTTATCTTGATCTCAAAGAGAAATAGATTATTTTGTGGTTTAATGAATAGATAGTTCAAAATTAAATGAACATTTCTATCTCTGATCTTTTGTTGCGGTGGTGAATTAATCATGGAGAAAGGGTGTGGAAAGCTTTCAATAAATATATGTTCAGCTCCCAGCTTCCCCAAGGGAACTCTTACTTCTCCAATCAAATGCAACAACCTCTGGGCTCTAATTGATTTCTTTCTTGATCCCCGCAGAAACTGACATGGAAATCTAGACAGGCTGATGTAGACACGTGCAGAATGAAGGGAAAACATAAGGTAGGCAATTTTCATTTCTCCAGCAGCTGCCACTTTGGGTTAAGTTTTTGACCGTTATCTCCAGCTGTAAACCATGATGCAGAATGGATCATGCTAAGGCCCCTTTCCCCCTGTAATTGCTTTTTCCATCAACTTATTGAAGGCCTTAATTTGCAAACATAGTTTGCCTTTAATGTGATGAAACATTACGACAGCTGCAAGGGCTGTGCTGGGAACGACCTAGGGGCCCTGGGGATTATGGACATAAAGCAGGCTGCCCCAGGACTGAGTGCAGCCCTGAGCCCTTCGGGGAGTCCGCCAAAGAGTTTGGGAAGAACTACCACAGGCGCAGGGGTCTGTGGCCTTTGCTACAGACTCATGGAACACCGTAAAGGCATGCTACTGCTGAGAGCCTTGCCCATCGAGGGACCTCAGAGCATCTGGCAGTCATGTTAATAGGATGGGGACTTGGCACTTTGAGGCTTGCCTTCCTTTTGTACATCAACACAGTCCTTCCATCTGCAGTCATGTTTTTACTTATTATTGCAAAAGCAATTGTTCTTGCCGATATCCTCTTTTATTTAACATCCGAAGGAGCTGGTACTTTGGGGAGGGGGAGGTGTTAGAGGTTACACCCAGTGGGGCTCTGAGACTATTTCTGGCATTGTGCGCAAGGCCGTGCTCAGGGGAACGTGCAGCTCCTGGATCCAGCCCAGACCTCTGGCATTCAAAGCTTGTTCCAGAGGCCAATGCTCTCTCTCCCTCTGAGCTGTCCCCCTAGCTGGGCACTTTGAATGGGGAGACTCCCGAGCCACAGTGTTACTGTCATCAGATGCTGGATGTGGAGACAAGAGTGGGATGGATAGACAGGAAACATAATAGTCGGATTATTTTTCAGGACGAGTGTCACAACTTTATCAAAGTTCTTCTAAAGAAAAATGAGGAGACCCTGTTTGTCTGTGGAACTAATGCCTTCAACCCTTCCTGCAGGAACTATAAGGTAAATGCTGTTTAGCCGGCCAGGACTAAGTACTAGGAAGTATTTTGCAATTTCTTGTGATTGTACCTGCAGTAAACCAAGAGTTGTAATTCCACACCACCGGGGTTTCTCTCATGTGTTCAGTTTAATGTTGCACCACATGCGTGAGTTTGAGCAGGCTTCCATGCTTCCTGTTTGCTCCGGATTGATTGACAGATCTTTAAAGAACTTTTCCCCAGCAGTGTTCATTTCCTTCTGTAAGACCCTATTCTTGATTGTTCAGCACACCAGCACGCATAGCCCACAGACCCTGTGGATGCCCCTCTCTTTTCCTTTCTTCCTCCTATACCCCACCTCCCATCATTTCCTCTCTGAACACAGAAACACATTGAGATTGTGAGTAAGACCTCATTTCAAAGGACTCTCAAAAGTGTGCCAGGGAAAACTTCAGGGGTCCCAAAGAGGGAAGGATTTTAAGAAATGCACTGCATTACACTATCCTCCCATCGATTTGCTCGAGTGGGCCCAATAACGTCTCCATTGTGAGACTTGTTGTTACTGTGTTTGGCATATCGAATACATCATGGGTAGCTTGCCAGGCCTTGCCGTGCAGGTGAGATACTCTCGGTAGCTTGCCGAGTTCTCTGAGGGGGTGGAGGGATCGAACCCGGGTTGGCCGGGTTGGCGGTATGCAAGGCAACGACCCTACCCGCTGTGCTATCGCTCCAGCCCAAATTTAAGAACAGCACTGAATTCTATTTAGGGCTCAACTTAACTGTTGCCTTCCTTACCTTGACCTTGAAGTCAGCAGACAAAGGTCATGCTCATAGGTAGCATCTGCTGAGTGCTAATGTAGAGGGTTGTGTAGAAGTGTTGCCACAGAAGCCAGACTGGGGGCGGAGATGTTAGTGGGCCCCCTGCCAGGTGTAGAAGCAGAGATGTCTAGCCCACTGTTAGCACTCTGTGTCCTTTCTTGCATAGACTTATTGATTGACCAGGTTTTTATTGAGTATCCCCCGTGACCAAGCGTCAAGGTTATAAAGTCACAGGAGGGCTTTTTCCATGGGACAGCTGTCCCGTGTGGCCCAGCCCAGGACAGAGCTTTATGGAAGCGTAACAGGAAAGTCCTCAGCCTCAGATAGGGAGTTGGGGAATTTGTCCAAAAATGAGGGAAGTGATCTCTCAGGCCCCTCCCAATAACCCTCCTCCATCCTGAAAAGACTCACTAGTGACTGAATATTCCAAACCCAACAGGGGCTGGGTTCATTTTTGTGTGGTCCATCATGGATGACCTGATGCCCTGCCAAGCCAACGTCAGTCAAATGGAATGAGAAGGGTGTGCCAGGCAGCATGAACAGTATGAACAAAGGCCCAAAGGAAGAATCTGAGGGACTTCTTCGGGTTCTAAAGTGCTGGGCTGTACAGTGACAGAGTGGTCAGAAAGAGAGACTAGAGAGGTAGGTGGCCCCAGAGGTGAGGGATAAGAAGAGTTCAGGAAATATATAAGTAAACCAAAACAGGGGGATGGAGTCATGTTGCTTAGTGGCACCTAGAATATGAGGCAACAGGACATATGTCAACTGCTGGGAGAGCTCTTGAGGGAGCAGAGGACTGGGGTGACCGCCCATTCAGAAGGGAACAACTGGAAGCAGTGGAGTAGGGATGGGAGGCTGAGAAGAAGGGGTTCAGGGGTGAGGAAGGTGGCTCTGGATGGCAGTGCCTAGGGGCTGTGGAGAGGCAGCTCACTGGAGATGCAGGGGAGAGCTGGGGAGAGAGATGCAGGTTTCATCAGCATATGCTAGAGATTGGCAAGTGAAGGAGAAGCTACTGGGCTGATGTCAGACAACCAGCAGGCCTTTGCTTTGCAAGTTTTAAAAAACCCTCAGCTGGGTGGGTGCACTGGAGATGAGAGAATTATGTACACGGGAAACCATCATTAACAAAACTGTCATTCATAGTACCTCCATCAAGAAGTTGAAAGAAGTTATATATATGTAATTTATTTTAAAATAATAATACAAGGTTCTCTGCCTTAGCATTATCACAGACGATTCAGATTCATCTTCCACTTGCTGGGTAGCAAGGGGCACCAGACAAGCTAGACACCTCAAAGTTTAAACATCAAGATAAATGATATTTCAATGCGGGCTGGAATGCGTTAGGGTTTGGGCACACACCCAGTGATGCTCAAGGGCTAATCCTGGCTCTGTGCTCAGAAGACACCCCTTGGAGTGTTCAGGGGACCATATGTAGTGACAGGAATCAGATCTGATCAGCTGCATGCAAGGCCTTAGAACACTCATTAACTATCTCTCATACCCATGAATGTGATCATTTAAAAAGAATCAAAATGCCTAGTAGGAAAAAAGACACTTTTAAAAAATCAAAATTTTAAATAAAGGTCGAATCCATTCAGCGTCTCACAGAGGCAGTCAGACCAATCCAAATCAGGGTTCATGCCAGCCAAGGGCAGCATAAGGCTGAAATTTCACCTTTTACGCTGCCATTTAATATTCTATCCCTGCCTGTCACTGTATAGGATTCATTATGATTAATGCTTGTAACAAATCACAAGGAATTCCTTAGCTGCAAAACAGTCTTTGACAAACCATGGCAGGTTTTCCTGGTGCTATGATTCACAGTAAGCTCATTCCTCCTGAATGTGTTCCAGCCTCTGGACGCCTCCCCTGCTGCTGTACCTTCACCTCGTGCTTGTTCCGCTGAGACCTGAGCCGGCAGTGTGGGTCTCTGAGAAGCCACTGTCAGGCTTTTGTTTCCCTGCAGTAATCTTCTTTATGCCTAGAGTCCTGTGCAAAGTGGTGCTAACCCCCAACACAGCTCAGAAAAGTGTTCTTGAGACTTGAGCACAGCGAGAATTGGTTAAGAACATGGACACAACATATTTAGCTCCAGGGACAATGGACAGCCCCTCTCTTTAGTGCTTTTTATCAGTAGATCAGGACTGAAAGTTCTGAGCAAAAACAAGGACCTGTCTTCCACTGAAAATTTCAGCTCTCTGAGGACAAGAGGCATCGAGCTGATTAGATTGGCGGAAGCAGTACGGGCTGGCAGCTTTTCACTCTCTGGCTCTCTGCACCATGTCCTGACTGATACCATTTTTCTAACATACGGAAACTGAACGAGTTAGAAAGATTAGAGCCCTGGGTGAGCTTACCAGGGGGAGAATTTGGTAGGCTTCCTGCTTGAAATCTGAAATAACAGCCCATGTCTTTTCCCTCCTGCTCTCGAAACCCACTTGGACTTCAGCAAAAGTCAGACTGGTTCTTAATGTAATTATCTGTACTCTGGGCTGATTAAATTTCCCCCGGGCTGCGGTCAAGTCTGAGATTAATTTGAGGATTAATTTTTTGTGGAAATAAGATTCCACCATGCCACTGCTTAAACTGCTTGTTCCCCACGCCTTTTCTAAACTCACAAATCCATGCTCCTTGCTAAGATGGTGATAGGTGAAAAAAATAGCTCAGGCCATTTTATTAGGAGGAACATTTGGGAAAGATGCATTCTTCTGTCTCTAGCTTCTCCACCGGCAGGATTTGGGCTAAGTGGCGTCTCCAGCACATCACTGTGTCCTCAGCATCATTTCTGAATGCTTTCCAGACACCTCCACCCCTATGTAAAAAGTCCTCCATGATTAACAGGAAGCTCCATAAAGGTAAAAAGGTAAAGGCCCTCCCGTTGATCGTCGATTTGCTCGAGCGGGCCCAGTAACGTCTCCATTGGAGACTTTGTTGTTACTGTGTCTGGCATATCGAATACTCTCGGTAGCTTGCCGGGCTCTCCGAGAGGGGCGGAGGAATCGAACTCGGGTCGGCCATGCTGACCACTTGTAAGGCGAACGCCCTACCCGCTGTGCTATCGCTCCAGCCCCAACAGGAAGGAAGCTCCATACTGGGATAAAATACTAGGAAAAGAGTTTCATCAAAAAATGTGCTGGGAGTAAGTGCATGATGGCTTGAAAAGATCTCTCACTTGAACATCATTCCCCTTTTTAAAAAAGTATTTTTGGAGGGTCTTTCAAGCAGCACTCAGAAGACCTGGAGGGTCCCCACCTCTGACTTTTAGCCACTCGGGTCTGCAATTCAGTGCAGGAGCCCAAGGATGTGATGCTGCTCAGGGCCATGGGTGCTGGGGATCTGAACCACTCAGATGTACTATCTCCTGGCCCCCTGAAAAGTATATATAGTATACTACAGTGCACATCTGACCCGGGTTCAATCCCTGGTACCACATTTGGTACCCTGAGCATGTTAGGAGTGATCAGTGAGCACAAGAGCCATGAGTAATCCCTGAGCACAGCCACTGTGGCCCAAACACCCAAGCGCACGCACGCACACACACACACACAATTTAAGCACAGTTGCTTTCTATGATTCTCAAAGTACAGTTTCAGCACACAGGCTGGTTTTCAAAGAAGCCTCCTGAAATTGCTTGCAGTCAGAAAAGGCATGTCATTTCCCTGGAACGGTTCTGGGAATTTAGGGTAAAAGGTACCATTGACTGGACCATACTAAAAGAACCTCTTTCCCAGGCAGCAACTACAGCTGTGGATTTAAGGCTGACTCAGTGCCCAGGGCCTTCCCAGGGATCCTTCCTCTCTCCCACTACTTGCAGTTTTCAGAACTGTAGTCAAAGCATGCAACCTCAAGGTGATAAAGAAAATGCCTTTAATCTGTGAAGATTGGGCCACAGAGGGTTATAAAAAGATTCATGAAGTAGTGATAAGTGTATGGATGCAGGGATGCTGAGATTTTTGTATGCTAGGAAGTGGCCAGGGTATAAGGGAGGAGACACGTGGTAAAGACGGTCCATCCCGCACTTAGAACCACTAACAGATTCTCATAACTGCTGCTGATTTAGGCCACCTGACTCAGACACTAGAATAATACTGTTCCCTTGGACATAGGCTTGATTTTTTTTCTATCAATATTATAATGAAAGGACATCAGAACAAACAATGTACTTAGAGGACCTGCAGTATTATATTCACCAAAATGGGCAAACCTTTGACTCACCAATCGGAATTCATTTCCTGATCACATCACTGTAGGTCAGTGAGAGAAGTTGTGGTCTGTGCGGTTATTCAGGGCTATCTTGCTCATACTTCTGTCAGAGTCCGCAGAGAATGTGGAAAGAGCTAGAATGGGGTGGGGTTGGGTGGGGGGAGAATCCTGGAAATATTTCTGAGATAAGACCTAGAGGTGCTGCCTAGTTTTAGGCTCACATTCCAATTGGCTGGAGTAGAATCACATGATCACATCGGGCTGCAAGAGATCATGGGAAGTATCAATTTGTCTGACATGGACTAATGAGGACCTGGAATTTGGTTAACAGTGACCAGTTTCCCACACCTGAAAATGCCTGGGGGCCAGACAAGTAACTTGCAGAAGTCAAACAAGCACAATCTAGATACATCCTATGTGTGGAAGGGCCTTGGAACTGGAGACATCATGCTTGTTTGAATAAAATGGCAGCTACAGCCATTTTTCTGGGTTGCGGGTTGCTGCCACTTGGCTAAGATCTGACTGACTTTATTACTTGTTTGGAAGAAGCAAGAAATCATATTTCTATGTGCCACCTGCTTGTCTTCCTCTTTTCTAATTGAGTTCAATTTCTAACCTTCCTTCCTCCTCCTTTTTGTTTTTTGCGTGCTCTCTTGTTTTTCTTTTCATTTCTTTCCTTCTCTGTATTTTTTTAATGAACTAAGATGGCTACACAAACCCTGTCAGATAGATAGGAGCCTATCACAGACAGAAACAAGCCTGCACTGAACACTGGTAGGTGGGAATCAAATGGCAACTTCTGAGCACTCTTTCCTCATCTACACATTCTTGCTGCTGAGATGTGCTTCCCACTTAAAAAGTTCTTCTTAGCCGTTCTTGTACCCATGTACCTATGCTGATGCCACACTGTTCTGCCAACTCATTTAAGGAGAAATTCCAGCGCCTTCTATTGGGATTTAACCCACAAAGACAGGCCTCCTCTGGCAAAACAAAACCGAAAACTGAGGTCATGGTCTGTAGGGTTTATGACTCAATAGATAATTCAGAAGGGAATGGAGGAGGAATGGGAGTAATTTTTCCCCATGATTGCCTCAGAAATTCCTTTTCCAAGGAGAAGACACTGATGTTTCAGTCATTCCAGAAGGATAATAGAATCTGTTTAACTGCGATGCTTAAGAGCCAAAATGCTGAATTTCAGACACTCCAAACTCCTTTGTCAAGTGACTTAATCTCTCTAACCCTAGTTTTCTCATCTGACACCAAGCGGTATATCTCACCTGGTATTTAGGGATTATTTGCTCCAAGAGAATGAATTATTGAGTACCTGAAGTGCCTTATGATGATTAGGTGCTATGACTACTTTTGGTTGTTGTCATCTCTAATGAAGCCCTATTATTTCATTTAGATGGATACTTTGGAACCTTTGGGGGACGAATTTAGTGGAATGGCCAGATGCCCTTATGATGCCAAACATGCCAACGTTGCACTATTTGCAGGTAAACAGCCTGATTTCTTCTTGTTGCGTTTGCTTTTGCATATTCAGCCTGTCGCTGTGAATCTGCTCTAGAGGATTCACAGTGTCACAGTTATACGTGGATTCTCTGGTGAATACGGTAATTAAGAATGTCTTTTCCATTTGAAGTTAGTATGGAAATTGTATTTTTGCTTCTTAAAACAAGTCTTTTCCACACTTCCCCATTCTTGGACATCTTCAGAAAGGTAGCAGCTTTGCACTGAACCTGTGACATATCATTGAGGGCATGTTTGGGCTTAAATAATAGAATTTCCCAGTTCAAGCCGCAGATGTGTATTTATTATTTGAGCTGGGGCAGATTTGGGGTTGGTTTGATCCAACAACTCAATAATATCATCCAGGACGACTGTCCTTTTCATTTCTGTGCTCTCTTTGATTTCTTTCTCTCAGAGAGACTAGCTGCACTCTGTCACAGGATAACTGCCAACCCCAATTAGGGCTACATATCTGTCCACATACAGAAGGAAGAAGAAAATGAAGCTTCTGGAAGTTTTTCTCCCAGAGCAGTAAGGCCACATATCCACATACAACTCCAATATTGTTGATGTGTTTAGGTACTATGCCTGTTTCAGATTGAAAGACTGTAATGGTTGAGGAGATAATACTGTTTATCCCTGGTTGAGGCACAAATTTCCCATCCTCACACCTTCCTTCCACTGCAAAGGCTCTAATATAGCAACAAATAAGTCATCATTTTCAGTTTGCAATTTTTGAATATAAGAGAAAGAGAGAGTGTGTTTTAATGAGGAATTTAGGAATTCACTGCCAGCTGCGTATATGCAGGTGGGTGTAGGGAGAAGTATTTGTATAATTGTGATTGCTGCAGCATGCAATAAAGCAGTTAGCTACAATTTCCATCATAACAGTTGGGGGGTTGCAGGAGTTCTCTTCTATAGCTCGATGCAGACAAGGCTTTGATTATGAAATCACAGGGACTTTCTGAACCACACCCTGAGTCGTGAACCTAAATTTGCAGCCACAGATTGTAAAGAGAGCCTGAACCACATTAAGTAGGAAAGTTCCTTGGTTCTCCCAGAAGTGAGAGTGTAGTTAGCACCGGGAAACATTGTCATAAGAAACAAGGAGTCTTGTAAACCTGTTTGTCAGCATGAGCAGGCACAAGCCTGAGTGTATTTTTAAGTGCAAAACCCACAACAGCACTTTGCTGATGCTTGGACCTGCTCTGGTTGGGAACATGAATGATGTAGTCTGTGACAGGGAGTTTCAATTTAAGCATAAAAGGACTTGTAGTAGAATGGGGTCAAAAGCAGGAAGGGACAGCAGCCTGGAGAAAGGCAATAGAGACAATACTGTGAGACTGCCTACCCCTCCCTCCGCCAGAAGGTGTATTTGAGTCATTTTCCACTGTAATACTTAAATTCTCATCAATGTTCATCCCTTAGTAGTAAAAGATCCTTGTTATAGGGCTATCCTATTAGCAAGGGGGGGTGCTTTTTTATATATAGAAACTCTGGTAAAATACTTAATGTTGAATATAAAAGAAAAATACCAGAACAGTTAAGAGGCACACACACACAGAAATAGACACGCACACAGACAGACACACACATGCACACACACGTACACACACACACCCTCTCTCACTCCTCTCTCCCTAGATACACTTTTAGGATATCTGTATGACCTGGGTCTGTGGTTCTAGTAATAGAAAAAGTGCAGTTTTTATTTTTGTAGATATGCGTATCAGTAGAAAGATTTACCACCTTTATTTTTGTTCTTTAAATCTAATCAAAATTCTCAGTACTTGATATATCACTGCTAATAATCCAACATCCAGATAGCTCTAACTGGAATCAGAGTAAATTGAAGTTCTTTCTAAAACTTAAAGTAGACACCAGGAACTTCCTTAAGTGTGTTGGCCTAAACTTTATTTAAGACATTTTAAACGTATCCCACAGTGAAAGAGTTTAGCAAGTACGTAAACCATCTTGATATATATAGAATTAAAGAGGATAAGTTATTGTTAAAAATTAACTAAGAAATTTTCTTTAAAATGTAAGTATTGTTTCTGTATGAAGAATAGGCAAATCCAGAGAAAGGTCTGACAGTGATGAAATCTTTGGTCCTCACCCTCTTTTGCCTTGGCTGTATGTTACTGCATGTTTCCCCCCAAAGCACAAATTCTCAGAGAAAGCCCAGTTTGAATATCACCTCGCCTTTTTCCCTTTTTTCCTTTGCTTTGGCATTTGTTATATCAGTGTTTGTAGGATTTTGCTTTAGAAATATCAAATCAAATATCTCTTGATTATACTAGATTGGCAGGGTGTGGGGATCCTTGTGCCTCTCAGGCTGTCTAACAATTGCATCAGCACTTTCCCACTAAGGGATCCTCCCTTTCTTCATTTCCCCTCACCATCTCAGGCTGAGGACCCCCTTTACTACCACACTCATGCATACAATCTCTGGTGCTCCCTTCGGCTTTGACCCTTTTCTGGCTTGCCCTGGATACAGTTTATCAGGGGAGATGGTAGGAGCCATGTACAAGGTGCTTTGGCCTTGAGATGCTGTGAAGGTCCATCTAATCAAGTGAAGCAAATGACGTTTTTCATTTGCCCTGTTGCTGAGCTGTTGCTGCTGCTACCGCAGCATCAAAATTGCCGTGCAATTTGAAAAATGAAAAATGTTTCATCTCTCATGATCCCAATTCAGAATGGTGAGGAACGCCGGCCAACTATTTTCCCAGCCATGACTGGATACATCCCAGCTGTCCTATCTTATTTGCCTGCAGTGTGATAGCAATCTGAGGGGTGCTGCTCCTACTCCCCCATGTCTGAGCTTGCATCTCACCGCCTTCACCTATGTTCTTTCTTTTCTTAGATGGAAAACTTTACTCGGCCACGGTGACTGACTTCCTTGCTATCGATGCAGTCATTTATCGGAGTCTTGGAGACAGCCCAACCCTACGAACTGTCAAGCATGATTCAAAATGGTTGAAAGGTGAACAATTAAAAGAGAAGTTAGTTTTTATTTCGGGGGTGGGGGGGGGAGGTTGTGAGTTGATCTTGAGAAATTTCGACAGACCCGACTATAGCGTCCTTTTAGTTGTGGCTTCTGAATCACAAGAAGTTGGAAAATGGATCTTTGCCTACGCTGATTTATCTACCCTCCCCTTTCCACTTCCCACAAGCTTCCTGAATATTAACAGAGCTACCAATGCCGAACAAAGATTCCCATTCCCCTCCCACCTCCCCTAACACTGATGTTTCAGAGCCCCACATAAATAGAAGTAAATTGTTTTTTCCTGAAAGGAAACAGGGGAGTGCAGGTCATGGGGAAGAGTAAAATAAAAATCTCTTCCCAATCCCCTGTAAATCAGGCTTAATTATGAGATGGATACAGAATCATCTCTGTGCTATGGACATTCCATTGTGGAAAATGAAATGGCAGAGACACACAGAACTCATTTATTCTTCCTTGCTGATTACTACTACTTCTGAATGATCAACCTGTAGGATTGAATGGTTTCTGAAATCACTGATACTTGCTCTTGTGAAGTTCTCAGAAATGCTCGGTGTGAACCAGGTGGCCCCATGCTTTTAATTACTAAGATTAACTGTACTGGACAATTTTGCTTTCCTTTTTTGATTGAATTGCCCCTCCCCCCCACATCCCCCCATATAAAGACTAAATATTCTATATCCTTCAGCAAGTAGCAACTGACTAAAGTTTATTTAACTCAGAGTGACACGTCCCTGACTAAAATACCCATTTGTCCACAGAACCATACTTTGTCCAAGCCGTGGATTATGGAGATTATATTTACTTCTTCTTCAGGGAAATAGCAGTCGAGTACAACACGATGGGAAAGGTAAGAGGACCAAACCTTGGACCAATGTTAGGAAGAAGCTTGAAGAGCATTGGATCAAATGATAATACTATTCTTTGGAGAACTATCTAAAAACTGGCATAAGTAAAACCTGGTACTGCCTCAAAAACCTATGCTTTTGTCAAAGCGTGAACAGATAACTTCAGGAAACTCCTTAAATATTCCTACTGGGAATTTCAGTCACGGATGTTGGGTTGATTTTTACACTGTTTATCCTCCTCCCTCTGCCTCCCCCCACCCCGCCCAGTATCTTGAGGTACTGGTTTCCAACTGTACTGGACAGTTTTGCTTTCCTTTTTTGATTGAATTGCCCCTCCCCCCCACATCCCCCCATATAAAGACTAAATATTCTATATCCTTCAGCAAGCAAGGGTAGGGGTGGGGGAGCAGAGGAGGCATGTTTTTTCCTTTGTATCAGAAGGGAGGATGTTTTTTCCTTTGTTTCAAAGAGCAGCAAAACACTTAGTAAAGGTCCATTTCAACTGCTTTTACAGAGTAAGTGCAAACCAACACATTGGAGAGCGCCAACTCAAGGACAGGATGGCGTGTGCCCCTCTCCTTAGAGGAATCCAAAGTATGAGATTCCAGGCTCAGGGACAGCCAGCAAGGATGGCCAGAACTGGTGCATATAAAATGTGCTTTTGTTGGAGGAAATAAAAAGCTAAGCAGTCTGTATGGAAATTAGTTTAAATGGCTGCGAGCTGGTCCCTTGAAGGATTTATGGCTCGGAATTAAATGCCACTGCCTTATCGTTTAAAACACACTCTTGCAGGGCTGAGTCGGGGGGGACTGATTTCCACCCTCCCTACTGATTCTAGAAAGACAGGATTAAATTAAGTCACCGTGGTTCTCATTCTGTTTTCCAAGAAAGTCGGATTCTACTCTGATAGCCCTTAAAGGTGAAAGCCCACATATATCTCATTTTCCCTGTGTTTTCCACCCCCGGCAGGTCGTTTTCCCACGGGTCGCTCAGGTGTGCAAGAATGACATGGGAGGGTCGCAGCGCGTGCTGGAGAAGCAGTGGACCTCTTTCTTAAAGGCGCGCCTCAACTGCTCCGTGCCTGGAGACTCTCATTTTTATTTCAACATACTTCAGGCGGTCACAGACGTGATTCGTATCAATGGCCGTGATGTTGTTCTGGCAACCTTTTCCACACCTTATAACAGGTAACCAAGGCCTGGCCGGGTTGACCTCATCAGCCGCGTTGGCTCATCAGCTCTTCCCGGCTTCCCTCTCCCAAGGGGAAATCTGCTGCTTGTACGGGATTAGCAACCTCAGGAAAAATTGCCACTCTCTATTCGTAGTGTAGAAGCACTTAATACTCGGTGCTCATCAACAGATTAGCAGTCATCTCTGAGGTATTATTAGATTAGAATTTGGGGCTGAGTAATTAGACAGACTATTACAGTATCTTTAGTGATATGCCCAGTACTAGGGATACTCTTCTTGAGTTCTTTCAAAACACCTGAAGTCATCCTGGGAATGGATCCCTGTTGCCTTCTCTTTACACTGGAGGCACCTGAACTTGGCTGCAGAGCCTCATTCAGGGACTCAGTACACAACAGAGGCTGGGCTTGTACCCCCTTCTCTGAGTCTCCCTCCTCTAACCTGTCTGATTCTAAACATGTCTGTGACTAGACCACAGCAGAGTCTGGGCTGGTACCCCCTTCTCTGAATCTCCCTCCTCTAACCTGTCTGATTCTAAACATGTCTGTGACTAGGCCATTTCTGAAGCAAAATCACTGGAGATTTTATTTTTTAATGCACTACAGAGTGAAAGTTAGAATTGGGATGAGTTGGTCCTGCCTCTTCCCCTGAAGAACCCTGGGTATTATCCAGGACTCAGCTCCTGACCATAATTATGATCAAAAAGGTCCCAGTGAAGAGAAGTTATCAGGCCTTGGAACTGTAAATACTGAGTGTCCCTATTTTTGTGCTTATGTAAGAGAAGACATGGAGCAATTAAATAGCTCACTAAGTAGCATAGCTGGAGTAGTGGAAGCATGTGAGCTTAAGAACAGAGGTAGGGGTGGCTCGGCGGTAGAGCACTTACTTTGCAGGTCTGATCCCTGGCTCTGTGAAAAAAGAAAAAGAAAAATCAGAAGAAAGAAGCTCAGTTCCCCCAGCATACCAATGTCCCATGCCTCAGAGTCTAAACACTGTTTGGAAATGATCACAACCTGGTTGTGACCTCAGGATAGACATGGAGTTGACCCTTGAACAATGTGGTGTGAGGTACCAACTCCATAAGCAGCCTAAGCATGTAGGGTCAGGAAGATGGACAGCATGAGACTGTCCCAGCTTAGATCCCTAGAGCAACATGGCTTCCAGGCATTGCTCATACGTGGTGGGACTAGTGGATGGCATTTCATTAAGTGAGAAATGCTTATGAATTGGGGGAAAACCAGAACAGAATAAGCTGAAGTGAGGACTGGAGGGATAGTAGAGCATGGAGTGCTTACATTACATATGGTCAACCAGGGTTCAATCACTGCCACCCCATATGGTCCCGTGAACACTGCAGGAGTGATCCCTGAGCACAGAACCAAGACTAAGCCCTGAGCACCACCGGATGTGGCCCCTTACCCCAAAAAAGAACAAGCTGAAGAATGCAGTGATGTTTCTGGATTACATGAAGTTTGAGTCAAGAACTACCCACTGAAAATCCATGAAAATATGAGCCCAGATGGAAGCAATAAGTAGTTGGTTAGATTCAAGTATGCTTGCACAAGCTCTAGGGAATTTTAGCCTTGATAGTAGAAAATATATAGAAGTCAGGCTTTGACAAGTCTTATTTATGGATTCATCTCTCTGCTTCGGTACTTGGAAATAGAGCGGTTTGTGGGATTTCTGAGTACATTTCCAGTTTGTTTTTAAAAGGATGAGTTACTCTATGATTACAATAGTAGATTCTTGTATAGAGTATTTTCTTAGAAGGGATCTAAGAAATATCCACTATCTGTTTAATAAAATTAGAAGATGGTCATTTAAAAATGATCCCCATTTTCATCTCCACTCCATCCTTCACACATGCAGATGTGATTGTGTCAGACAGTTTCAGATCTTCTTGCTTGCCCTGGGGATAAATTCCACTTTCCTGGGTCTAGCTCGACAGCCCTCTCACAGCCAGAGCCGTCTCCTCCTGCCTCCTATAGCTAAGACCTGTCTCTCAAGCATGCCCTGCTTGCCCACACACTTCTCTGCCAGTGTCCGTGCCAGTGAAACAGAGACTGCTCCAAGACTCAGCTCCTGTCACCTCCCGAGGGATCTCGGGCACACTCTTAAATGTTGCTCCTGCTGAACTGACCTCTCTTTGTGGTACAGCAGCAGCAGCTGTTAACAGCAGCGTTGTTATGATCAACTTCCTGGCACAGCAGCACGGTTGCTTTGCTCGCCTCTGCGTAAAGCCTCAAACCTCCGGGGAATGGGAGTCTGCTGCTTGAGGTCAGGGACTCCCTGAGAATATGGTGAATGAACGGAAGGTGGGAACAAAGGAATGAAAGGAAGAGTGGAGGGAGCAGCAGAAGCAATTGCAGAACTCCAGACCTTGAGAGGACTAAAAAGCATTCAAGGGGGTTTTGTTATGAAATCCTTCACAAGGCGCTTTAAGCTATGATTATGCATTTTTCTTAATGTAAAAGTAAATGTGTACACCTGTTTTGCTAAAACAAAGGAGTGATGGTAAGTGGGTAAGATATTTACGTTGCACATTGTCTACCGCAGTCTACCTGTGTTGGATTCGGCACCCCATATGGTCCCCTGAATATCACCAAGAGTGATCCGTGAGTGCAGAGCCAGGGGTAACCCCTGAGCACTCCCAGGTGTGACCCCAAACCAAAAAATAAATAACAGAGTGGGTACTGAATTCCAAAAATAAATGGGAATCAGTCTTCATCTCTAACTTCTGTGACATGTATGTATAATATACAGTAATATATTGTTTAATATATTGTTTACATTTAATATATTTAATATATTGTTTAATGACATAAATGTATAATATACAGTACATAACATATTAAAATTCATCCTGCAAAAATCATTTTAAATAAGCCTTGTAATCTACTTCTTAGAGAATTAACTCAAGCAATTATGTCATGATATTAAGGATAGAATCAAATTTATTTAATCAACGATTTAGGGATTCCCTTATCCCATCAACAGTCTCAGAATGGAGACTCCAGGGGTTCTCTCTCTGCTCTGGGTGATGAATGGTTCATGCTACAGGCCCCTCATGCCACTCTGCAGCCCCTTTCTGCCCTGGTCCCTTCCTTAGAGCCTGCTGTGCCTGAAATTTTTTTGCTCAAAATCAAGCAGCAGCCTTGATTTTGAGTAGTCAGAAGCAAACATATACCCAGGTGAATGCCTGATTCATTCATGCCTGTGTGTGGCTGACAGGGCGGGGGGGGGAGTTCTTCCAGGAAGGGCCAGGCCATGTCATCATCAGTAGAAGTTGCCATCACCATACCACCCAGTACTTAGTAGCACAGTAGCACTGTAGCACTATCCTCCCATTGTTCATCGATTTGCTCAAAGCGGGCACCAGTAATGCCTCCATTGTGAGACTTGTTGTTACTATTTTTGGCATATCAAATACGCCATGGGTAGCTTGCCAGGCTCTGCGGTGTGGGCGAGATACTCTCGGTAGCTTGCCAGGCTCTTTAGAGGGGCGGAGGAATCGAACCCAGGTCGGCCGCATGCAAGGTAAATGCCCTACCCGCTGTGCAATCGCTCCAGCCTAGCACACTTTATTTGGAAAGTTCTGGTGCTTTAGAGACTTCATTGTTCAGTATTAGGTACTTGAGCAGGAATTTCCAATCGGAGTGTGTAGAGACCTACAGGAAGTCAGCATGGGTTCCCCACATGGAATCAGCATGGGTTCACCTTCTCCCTCCTGGAATTAATGGCAGGCAGAAACCCAATCCCAGGAAGCTATATGTGTGCACAGGGGCCCATTTACCTTCAATTATTCACCATGTTAGCAGGTAGAATGCTTCTTAGATCTTTGGATTACTGGGGGATGAGGCTGGAAACTTCTTGGCTATTCTCACTCACGAGCTTGACCATCTTCCTTGAACAAATGTGCATCCAGAAAACAAGGCACGGAGAGATTTCATTTCCTCCAAGGACTTGCTGCTCTTACCCCTTTCTCTGAGGCCCTGAGTGCAGATGTGATTCGCATGAAATCAGATTGTCTGTCAGCACGAGGACCTCTCCCTGCACAGTGCACTGGGATTGGCAAGAGAGGGCACCTGCCCTGGGCATCTGGGCGGGATGTACTTCCCAAGGCGCAGCCCAGTGACACTCATGTGAATATCCTGTTGCAGCATCCCTGGCTCTGCCGTCTGTGCCTATGACATGCTCGACATTGCCAGTGTTTTCACCGGGAGATTCAAGGAACAGAAGTCTCCGGATTCCACCTGGACCCCGGTACCCGACGAGCGTGTGCCTAAGCCCAGGTATGCAAAGAGATCCATCTGGTCATTCTGCACATCTAGAGATGAGGCAGGGAATTGCTTGAGCTTTGCATGCCTCCTACCAGGTGACCCGTGTGCCTGTGGCCGCCAGAACACTGGGAAGGCTGGCAGGGCATTTGCCCTTGTGCCCTTGTGCCTATCCCCCAAACCTTCTCTCTAGTTTGTCATTTCATCTCACTGTCTGTGATTTGGCTTTTACTCGGGAGTCATACCTCACAGTGCTCATGGTCTCGTCCCAGCTCACAGCTTGGGGGTCTCTCCTGGTAATGCTGGGGGACCACACAGTGAGGGTGGACCAGTCCTGAGCACCTGCATGCAGAACCCCTGAGCCCTCTTCCTGTGCTTTATCCTCTGTCCGGCAGGGGTGACAGGACCTATCTGGTCCCCCCAGTCCCACTGCTGTAGAGTTGAAGCTGCGAGCAGCCAAAATAGATGGGCCGAGGAAGCACAGCTGGCAGCTTCCCACTGCCCCTCCCATGCAGGAAGTAGGGAGAAGCCGGGCTTGGGTTTCAGGGGTACTTTTATAAAATGATTTAAGAGAGTGACTCTCCACCTTTGCCAGGGTCGGCCTTTAAGTGATTTTGTCCTTGGTGGCCCTGCGTGGGTTTTCCTTCTGGCACATGCTGGTCTAATTTCAGAGACCTCAGGATGCTTGCAGAGCCTCTGCCGGACCCTTCTTTCTCCTCTCTGCCCCAAATCGAACAGCAGCAGCCAAACAAAGCCCAACTGTTCTCTCACCTCTGGCTCAGGAGATGGTTCTAAGGAGTCTCACTGGCAAAAATGCCGGCTGAGGGCTTTTTGAATGCCCCTCTGTCTTCTGAATTTGTGACAGGACCAACTTAATTTTCTTATTTGGTCAAAACTTAAGAACCCCTAGCCAGGTCCTGGGGTGGAAGAATGTGGGGAGGGGGCAGGTAGAACTGTTCCTAAGATGTGGACCCACACACTCCCCGTTTTAAGGCCCCCCAGCAGTCCCTTGGGGTTGGTGAGTGCTTCTGGGGGACAGCCACACTTGCACACAGACATGGTTGAACTACCCTGGCAGCGGCTCCTGGGGACTGTGGAGGCAATGGGAGACAGCTAAGCCTGCTTCATCAGAGACCTTCTGCACAGTGCAAGTTCCCCTTCTCAGCCCTCTCCCTCATGCCATACGCTCAGCACGGTTGTTCATTCAGTGACTCTGCCTTCGGGCAGCAAACATGCTCTCTTCCTGCCACCCTTTGCCTCTCTCCTTAGGCCGGGGTGCTGCGCCGGCTCATCCTCCTTAGAAAAGTACACGACCTCCAACGAGTTTCCAGATGACACCCTGAACTTCATTAAGACACACCCCCTCATGGATGAGGCCGTACCTTCCATCATCAACAAGCCGTGGTTCCTGAGGACCATGGTGAGGTGGGTGTCTGGCAGACCACATCTGAGAGGGACTTGCCTCACTCCCTTCCCCACTCCCTCAGCCCTCCATAGCTCAGGCTCAGAAATGCTATGGGCATCCTCTGTCTTCCTGGGCACTGGTTCGGCTGGGAAATGCTGGTGGGTTGGGTGGGTACCACACAGAGTTTGTTACCGTATTTCCAGAAAGAAGCAGGGTGAGTAGTTTCATGCCAGCCAGACACATGCCAACAAATAAGAGGAAATAAAGGTATTTTCTTCCCAGTGAGTGCCGGAACCCAGTCAGTGAAGGAGCATCAGGTGATGGATATGGACACATCTGCTTGGTTGGTTATGATGGCACAACATACTGCTGGTTGCATCTGAGCATTTGCCTGGGTTGCAGGCTGTGGGACAGCGAGTATTTGCATAATCACACCAGCCCGATCCAATACTTCAGCACTTACTATGTGAAAGAGACAGCCAAAAGAGAAGGGACAACTGCATGGAGATCCTGATAGCATTAGCTAGCCTCTGGGTGTTTATTTAGAACTTACTTCCAAGCAATTCAACAGGCTTCTCCAGGTACCATACAGTCATGGCGATCATCATGCGAAGTATAAACTCTGTCACTGTTTTGACACTGCAGCTTTGTGGAGAAGCAGAAAAATGTGACCAGGGCACCAGTGCTCTGTGGCAGAGCAACCACCTTGCAGAGCTGACACTGGGCCTTGAAGCCTGGGCCCTGCTCACAGGTGCTGAGCCAACTGACTCTGCTGCTTGGGATCCCCTGCAGCACCACAAAAGCGTGTGATCTCTGAGTGTGTGAGGCCTCACAACTGAGAGTGTGCAAGTGCCTTGGTTTAGTGTATGTGTGTGAGAGAAAAAATGTGTGTGTGTGTGTGTGTGTGTGTGTGTGTGTATGTGTGTGAGGGGGGAGCGTAGAAGAGATCCTGGCACACAGCATAACCAACTGCGCAACCCTGAGTCACTGCAGCAACAAAAATGAGGGCAGAGCCTATAATGACTCTTGCACAAAGATGGAAGCCATAGAGGAGAGGCCAGTGGTTATGGTTCTGGCCATGGTGCTTAGGGCAGTGAGGAACCCGTGGATCATTTGGTGGCTGAGGGTCTGTAAGGAAAAGGATGGTTGGGGCTGTCAGAATAGGGGATAGGATCACTTGTCCTGCTCACTGCCAACCCAGGTTTGAGCCACAGCACTCTCATATAGTCCTTGGGCCCTGCCAGGAGTGTTCTTTGAGTGCAGAGCCAAGAGCAAGCCGTGACCACCACAAGTGTGGTCCCCCCACCACAAAAAGAGGATACCCTGTGGAACTTATCCTGGGTCTGTGGAAGGACCTATGTCCATCACCTCTGGCTGTAAAGATGCAATTTTTGTACACCCTTGTCCTTTTAGTGTGCCATCAGCACTCTGCCACCCCATACTTCACAACCACCCCATTCCCAATACCCTAAAGGCTTCCCAGCGTGATGAATTGCTGACAGGACTTTGCAAGCTTTTCTATTTAGTGATAAATGAGTTCACATATTCCTTCCTTCCCTCTGCCTCAGCCATATCAGCCTTCCCTTGCTGCTCATGGAAGGGGTAATTGCTGAGTAGTTTCAGATGGTTAAGCCTGTCTATTTATTATGGAATTTGGCCTCTACACACACATACCTCCTCGCTCCCCTTGGAGCCAGACTAATGCTCTGCATATGGAAATAAAGGGCCAGAACAGCATGAACAATATTTATATGCATGTATTTTTCTTGAGGTTATTACTAGAAAGCTCTGTCACCATTGTTTGAAGTGGAAAAAAGGACACTTTAATGACAGAGTCACAAAGAGGTGAAATATGTGACCCTGTCATTTCAGATACCGCCTGACCAAAATCGCTGTGGACACTGCCGCTGGGCCCTATCAGAATCACACTGTGGTTTTTCTGGGATCCGAGAAGGGAATCATCCTCAAGTTCTTGGCCAGGATAGGAAACAGTGGTTTCCTCAATGACAGCCTTTTCTTGGAGGAGATGAGCGTTTACAACCCTGAAAAGTGAGCAAAACATTTGATTCTTTCTTAGTCATTATTTGTGCTGTTATTAGGGCCCTTTTCTTGTAGAGAATGTTGTGGCAAGTTTGACTTTATGTGTCATGGGTGCTTTTTAACACTGTGAACATCTTCTAAAATAAATCAAAAGTGTTAGTTTCTCCTGGTCGGTGCTATATATGTTTATAGATACAGTCACTGCATGTATATCTGTGCGTATCTGTTTTCACACACAATGATCTGCCTCTCCTTGGGTTCAATCAGGTTGAGAGAATGGTCCTGTGGGCTGGGAAGAGGACTGTGAGGAGGGTGGGAGCAGGAAGAGAACCTGTGAGTGACTTGCTCCTGCTTTCTCTAACCAGGTGCAGCTATGATGGCGTAGAGGACAAGAGGATTATGGGCATGCAGCTGGACAAAGCCAGCAGTGCTCTGTTCGTCGCCTTCTCCACCTGTGTGATCAAGGTTCCCCTCGGCCGCTGTGAACGACACGGGAAATGTAAAAAGTGTGTACTGAGCCTCTGGTTTAAGTACATGGTGGGCTGGATCAGGGGTGCATGCCTTGTGTGTACCAGTGCCCCAAGTTCAATCTCTGGGGCCACATGCCCTTCCTGGCACCTCCATGTGACCTGGTGGCCCTCAGCACCACTATGCCTGAGCACTGAACTATCTGGCACAGTTGGCCAAGTGCCAGCAGGAGTGGCCCTCCAAGCTCCTAAAGCACTATTTTGGAAATAAGGGAAATCACTGACCCCCAAATTAAAAAGAAACGGTGATTTCTGAAAGGCCCACCAGGGAGCTTATGTACCTCCTCTTCCTGCAGAACCTGTATTGCCTCCAGAGACCCGTATTGTGGGTGGGTCAAGGAAGATGGTGCCTGCGCCCATCTGTCACCCAGCAGCAGGTAAGGAGCCCCAGGAACTGGAGAGGCCCAAGCAGCCACTGCCACTCAGCCTTCTGGATCCAAACCTCACCCGCGGGACTGCCGGGCATTTTTCCCAGAACACCCCACACCATGTGTGGCAGAGTTCCAATCGATTAATCGTCTGCCCGCAGTCTGATTAAGAAAAGAGAAAAGGATGCGCAGTGGGTGCCTAAGTATTCCCTGGAGAGAGGGTCAAGAAGACACATGCCTCCACCATCAGCACGTGAGAGGGCTGAGAAAAGGAGCCATAGGGTACCAATTAGATTAGATGTGGTTTGTCCAGCCAGAACAGAACTGGCTCTTTTCATTGATGGTGCAGGGTTGAGAAGAGATCACAGAGCATTTGTTATGTGTGTATTTGTGCGGTCAGCGTGCAGGATACATGCAGTCAAACACTTTCCTGACCCTTCTACTCGTTAGGTAATCAATCAATTCTTGGCAGTTCCTCCACAGATCAGCCAGGTCTGGCCCAATAACCATGCCTGCCTGCCATTTTGATGCTTAAAATTGTTACCCTGCTTTGAAATGCTTAGATGGCATTGGCGGAAACATTTCTTTTATGATTTTACTCTAGGGGATGTGAAATCCAAAATGACATTTTGGAAAAGGAGTCCTTCCACGTTCTTGATAGCTTATGGCAATTTAGGAAGGTTACATATGCGAGCACAGCTCTCTCAAGCGAGCCCTTCAACCTCCCGTCATCCGAAGGGAGAAGTAGACTCCTTTCCCCTGCAGGCTCTGTCCCTCAAATCAGCACAGTCCAGGTTCTGTGACGGCGACCCCCAGCATAATTTGAGGAGAGTATTTCCGCGGTGGGAGCTCACACTAGCTGTCAAGTCTGGCCTGTAAGCTGATACGTGCAGGGGGTCGACTGAGTAGATAGTATTGGATCTGCTTTTGAGTTGTGATATTGACCTATTTCCATGCAAGAACTTTCCATCTTTTTCATGGGAACTGCAGCAGCGAACAAGGAAAGGTCACAAAGCACAGTGAGGCCAGCTATGAAATGTCCTCTTTCCTTTCTATTTGCAAGGTGTAATTAAAAACATTATTTTCAAGACAATTTGAGAAGTCCAAAACACATCCATCCCACCCCTAAGGACCTATATCCATATGTCAATGGAACTCTCCTTGGAACATGTCCTTTGGGGCCTGGTGAACACGGACTTTTGTTACCCTGAGAATTTTTATCCATTGGAGGGTACATTTGATTTTAACACAGCAAAGAAAGCACTGAGGAAAAAGACAGTAGATTGTTCCATCATACAGCATTTTCAAAGTTGTTTTTCTATATGACTCTTAAACAGACACTTCAGTTATGTTGTGACAGAAGCACAAAGTTCCCTCCCAGAGGACAGGACTGTCTGGGAAGATTCCACTTTGCTGATTTTCAAAGCCAAAACAGATAACTGCTAAGAATGGTCCTGTCAATACTTACAGAGCAGAGCTTCTCAACCTTCACCCCCCCCCACCACTCCATCACCCCCTACCACCTTGTTTTCTTCCTGTGGCCCCCTAGTCCTATGTAGTGGCCCTTCATTTACTTGATTTTCACCTACTGCGGTTCACTTGGAATATCTTGAGGGACCACATGGGCCCTGGTTGAGAAACGACACTACAGAGTTTGTACAGTCCAGTGAAGACCTTGTTATAAAAAAAAAAAGAGATGGGGTGGAGCATGTGGGAAGGCCTCTGCCAGGAATATACAGAGGAAATGCGCATGGGGCAGAGAGGGGATAAGTCATCTCAGCAGAAAGCATCGCCTGGCAGTGCTCTCTAAGGGTCCCACCTCACCCACTGACTGTTTGTACCTTAAGCACCTGTTGTACAAGTTATCACTAAGCAAAGACATAGATGAAAGTCTCAGAAGGCAAGCATTAATGCTGAAAGTAGACTATAGACTGAAAATGAGTGCCACTCAGTGCCTCTTTTACAAACCACAGCACCCAAAAGGAGAGAGAGAACAAAAGGGAATGCCCTGCCACAGAGGCAGGGTGGGATAGGGGAGTGGGGGGGTGGGAGGGATACTGGGATTAGTGGTGGTGGAGAATGGGCATTGGTGGAGGGATGGGTACTCGATCATTGTATAACTGAAACCCAAGCACAAAAATTTGTAAGTCTACAACTGTACCCCATGGTGTTTCACTAATAAAAATTAAAAAAAAAAAGAAGGCAAGAATTAGGGTGAAAGAAAAGGCCGGGGGGGAGAAAATGCTTTAATTTTTATATTTATGGATTTCTAACTTACACACATAAGGAGTGTATTTTAACATTTAAACTTCAAAAATATTTAGGAAATGCTCAGGGAATCAGCCTAAACAAGGTAATCTGTAAATGAATGAACTCTCAGAGCAAGATATGAATTAAGGGCTCACACCAGACCTTCTCCTTGGGGATCTAGACTGGACACATTTTTGTAACCATCAGAAATAGGTTTTTAAGCTCTCAAATGTGGAAAGCTTTTACAGTTTCAAATTTTCTCAGTTTTTCTGCACCTGCAACTTGATTTATCAAAGTTGCATTTTCTTGAGTGAAATTTTGGGCTATTTCCGGAACAATGACTTACATTATTTAATGTTTTCCTTTCTCTCTCCTTCTTCCTTACCATCTCTGCCCCTTGAACCCAAAAGACTGACTTTTGAACAGGACATTGAGCGAGGCAATACAGATGGCCTGGGAGACTGCCACAGTAAGTAGGACCTTTTTATCCACGAGTAGCTATGGGCAGGTCTCTTATTCTAGGAATGCAGAACTTGAGTTGGTTACTAGCATCTGCATAGATAGCAGAAATTGTCTTCTGGATATCAAAAAAAGAAAGGGGTATCTTGAAGGTCAAAGTTGCCAATGTGGTTGCTGTAATGCCGGCAACAATTTCAATATTATAAAGCTGTGTAGCATACTCACTGAAAGGCTATTAAATATAGCCGCACATGGGTAAGCTATATCAGCACACCCATTAAGAAAACAGATCTTGGTCGTTTCTTAAGCTGTATCATTACAATGTAATGCTTAGCCCAATAAATAAAAGATTGATCAGCTACTCTAGTTTTTAATTGAGTGGGACTGTTTGATTCTTTTAGAATGTAACAACTGTTGAAAGTTAATTATTTTTTAAATTAGATTTCCATCCATTACTGTTGTCAGTAGGGGAAAATTCAGAAAAAGCCCACTTAGAATGATTCAAAAATAACTTTTTGTAGGAACTATATTGCCATGCTAACCTTTAAGTTCATTTTTAAAGTCATTTAGTTAATGGTACCATTTTAGTCGGAAATTTATAAAAGGATCCTAATCCAAACTCTACCCAGGATCCAGGGAATGTAGCTCAGTGGCAGGTAGTTCTTGCCTTGCATGTATGAGGCCCTATGTTAAATCCCTGGCCCTGGGGAACAAAAATCTACCCAGGTTGTCTTGTGATCTGATTAATATTCTATTCTCCTAAAAATGCCCTATCAAATGCCATAAAGGACAGCTATACCATGATCTTAGAAAAATATTGTTCTGTGGTCTTTTAAATGTTACATTTATCAGATTTCAAGAAGCTCGCATTCAAAATTATGCTAAAAATAGCTCCTAAGGGAATGAAGCTGTACTTTGAGTATTTAATTTTATAATGAGAATCATAGATTCTCATTATAAATGAGATTATACTGGGCCAAGAGTACTGAAATAACACATTATACATGAGATTATACTGAACCAAGAGCACTGAAATTTCAGTCTCTAAGATGCCATTCAACTTTTCTTCCATATCCCTTGTTAGAAATCAGATACAATTCAAGAGGGCTGTTGATCCCTCCTCCTCAAATTCTTTACCATCTCCATTTCTTGTTTGCAAACATTAAATGCTGGCAAAATCGTCATCTTAGGTCTTTATTCAGACAGTTTACAAGTTAAGAAATTAGCACCGGGCATGAGGTCATGCCCCGAAAGCTGTGTTGCTTGTGTTCAGGGAAGCAAGCTGCTATTTGCTTAGCAGATCTTAATATAGTTGGTGCCTTATGGCTACATTTCTTTGGACACAAGCCTGGCTGTGCATTGCGCTTATGTGAAAGAATATCAGGAGTTGACTGCTTTGTGATATGTCTCTGTTGTAGTCTATGATCTAGTGGGATGGGCACTAAAGGCAAATCAGAGGTATTAGAGTCAGACTGAAGAGACAAGTAGCTGAGAAATGAGAAGAGGGCTGTGTGTATCCTCTGCACGCATATCTCCCACTCAGCAACCTCCAGTCCCGCGGCACCCATAGTCCCTTCTGTCTTGCACACCCTCAGCTCCCAAGCTAGTGCTCTCCTTGCCAATCTCAGCAGTCAGGCCTCCTTATATTTAGGAGGAGGGTTCCTAAACTGTCCACCCTCTCCCTCGGTCCTGAGCCACCTCCACTGAGATACTCAGTAATGCTGACCTCTGCTTCCTGCTGCCTCATGGTTGCTCTGCTCCTCAGAGAAAGACTTGCCTTCATGAGAAAGACGTAGATGCACAGGAAGTGGAGGGTCAGTGCAGGGCTGCAGAGACTCTAGCCAGATTTCCAGGGGCAAATCCAAAGACCCACATCAGGGACTCAGGGAAGCGATAATTTGACTCAGACACACAACAGGACTACACAGAATTCAATTGCTCTGTGTGTGTGTGTGTGTGTGTGTGTGAGAGAGAGAGAGAGAGAGAGAGAGAGAGAGAGAGAGAGAGAGACTGTTTGCATTTTTAACTGCCTAACTAAAACCCCTGTTGAGTTCAGAACACATTATTGATGCCAGGCAGCTTCACCCCACAGGGTTGTGAAGTTGAGATGAGAGGAAAGTGCCATGTAGGTGTGGCCCACCAGTCACTTAAGTTATCCACCTGTGCAGTGGATAGCACAAAACATTCCCCAAAGTGCATATTGTCTTGGTCAACTTTCCTACTGTTAAGTCTTGGTTCTTCTCAGCCTCTTGGCTACAAAGGCAGGGACGTTGAGGAAAGCTACTTGGGGAAGAAATCAAAGGGTCTAAGCACTTTGTATTACAAGCAGATTTTTTTTAAAGGACTAACTGGGTCTGGAAGATAGTACAGCATGTAGGGCACTTGCCTTGCACATGGCCAACCTGATTTGATCCCTGGCATCCCATTTGTTCCCCTAAGCCCTGCCAGGAATGATCCCTGAGGGCAGAGTCAGGAATAAGCCCAGGCATGGCCCAAAGCCAAAACTAAAATAATGAAAAATAAATAGCACTTGGACTGCATTTGGGGGAATCCTACACTAGCAGAGCTCTGTATTGGTTCATTTGCACTAGTCAATATTCAAGCTAAGCCAAATGTCAAACATTAAGTCACCATCTTCTCTCTTTTGTCTTACAGATTCCTTCGTGGCACTCAATGGTAAGGAACACATTGCCTGTAATTGAATATTGCTGGAACTCTATTTGGGAAGTCCTGTTTTCCTATTTCTTTGGAGTATTTTAAAATTTTAGGTTTCTTTGTCAATTAATTTTTTATCCCGGTTATTTCTTATAGACATTTCAACTCCTCTACCAGATCATGAAATGTCTTACAACACAGTATATGGTCAGTTTGTGGATTCTTTCTTTCTTTCTTTCATTCTTTCTTTCTTTTTTAATTAGATTTAACACTTCAAGCTACTCATCTTGTGGTAGTTTATAGTTTTCATCCCTAAACCCTGTGGACTACATTCTTTGTAACTTCAGGGTCCCAATTCACTAAAATTATTATAGAGTCCACGGTGTTTCCAAAGTCACTGCCTATGAGGAAACTGGCATATGAGACCAAGTCCTGCATTTTTCAATCCACATAAGATAAAATATGCCCATCTCAGGGAATCGGGTGACTAGAGCTAACAATTCCTTAAGTAGGAGGAAGTTGCTTTTGTATTTTGGAGAGGCACATCCAAGATAAAAGAAGAGGCCTTATCCCTCACCAGCCACAGCTCTGTAACATGTAGAGAATAGCCACCAATCCAGTACCCCTTCAGCAGGGGAAAGCCCACACATACTGCAGGTACTAAGTTCTTCTAGGCAAAATTTTCTGGCATAGCATGAAATTAGCCACTGAAATTTCAGGTTTCAAAAAGGAAGGTTTTCATCAAATTTTCAGTGATGAGGAAGAATGATGCCACAGATGTATAGGCAGGATTTACCCCATTGTTCTGCTCTAGACTACATCTGTGTTAAATACATCTATATTATTACATATGCTATGACGTAATATAGAATACATCTACATTAAACAAAACCATCAAGCTCTTACATGAAAAGTTGAAATGTTCCATTTACACCTCTTAAAGTTCCCTCAAATATTTATCAGTATATGACTTGGGTGCTTTTAGAATTGAAAGATGTGTAGCTGCGATGTTAAGTTTCTGCATTCCAGTGGGGACAAATTTCATTGATACACAGACATTTCACAATCTTTGTGGTTTAAGATATATGACATTAACAGTTAAATCAAGAGGTAGGTAAAATTAAGGAAGGGAGGAAATAAAGGGGGAAGGAGGCAAAGTGGATTTAGACTACAAGGAAATAGTTCAAGGATGGCCACAGTATTCAATAAATAATTGCCCTGTGTACATACTCCCTCTTTATCAATCATGCTAAGATCAATTTTAATTCTCAGGTAACTTTTCATGTAGATAGAACAATTAAATTGTGAAATATCCTTTATGAGCCAGAATCATTCTCGAATCTTATTGCTCTCTTATTTTCTTTACAAAAGCGAAGGATCTGATTTAGTACTCCCATATACCTTAAAGAATAATGCCTATTTGTCCCCCCTCAGCTCTTGACAATGGCTTCTGTGAGGAATCTAAATAAGAACTGGGATTTTCCTTTCAACAGGCAGTCCTGTCCTTTTCAAGCTAAATCTATCCAGTGTGAAATCTGATGATTAACTGCCCATCAGAATGAGGTCTGGTCTAGACAGTACTTAACAAAAAACAGAGAGACATTTTTCATAAAGAATTGCGAGAGATGATTAATTCAGTGTAAATAAGCCTAGAATACATTTCAAAAATTCATTCAATAAATATTTGTTGAGTGCCTACTATGTGCCAAGGATTGGACCTGGCACTCAATTTGTACCATTCAAAGAAATAACAGATTGCTATTTTTATGAGCATGGATATGTAAACTAGAGTCCAACTCTAAAGTCCAAAGTGTTCCCACCTTAGGCTGTGTCTTTACAAGCCCCACGGGAAGTTCAGTAGCTGAGTGCAAGATCATTTTCAGGGAGTCTGAGAGTGAATCATAGACGCAACATTGCCCAAGTCAGAAAAAGAAACTGTTGAAGTAAACCATGTAATCTGTGCTGGCAACAAATGTACAACATCATTTGCTTATGCAAGAACCCCTTTTAGTGAATTGGGCCCTGAGTGTCTTCCTTTTCTCTCCTTTGTGCCTAACTGACTACAAGCACTGTTAATAGGTCAAGCCTAGTTTAAAGGAATCTCTAACCTCTGGAAGAATCACCACATGTAGATATAGAGAAACACTAATGCATATTTAAGTTCATTTATAATCTGTTTCTTTGTATTTCATAAAAATAATACAGCAGCTGCTGCACTGATGAAAGACATCTCTTCTTTATGAATTACAAAAGACCAAATTGAAGGATCCAAATCTATTGACACACAATACTATATTCACAAATGATTACCAATCTTTGCAGCACAATTTTGGTTTACAAAGTCTCTTAGGGGAATACACAAAAAGAATACAATTTGTGAAATCAGATTATAAGAAGAATATAAGTGATTTCCTTTAACAAAAGTGTTTTAAGGGTTGGAGAGATAGTACAGTGGGTAGAGGGCTTGCCTGACGTGCAGCCTACCTAGGTTTGATCCCTAGTAACCCAGAGGGGCCCAGAGCACTGCCAAGAGTAGTATCTGAATGCAGAGCAAGGAGTAACCCCTGAACATTGCCAGTTGTGGCCCCCAAATGAAACAAAAAATGTTTTAGTTGGTGAGGTAATAATGCACATTGTTGATTGACCTCACATTCATCACTGCTGCTCAGTGATAACTTGTACCTGGTGCTTCTAAAATTGTTGGCAATGAGGCATTGGTTTAGCCCATTGATTCACCAGAGATGCATGTTCCTTATCACCACACATAAATTTAAAAGACAACAGACCTCATCTATTAGACTCCTTTGGGTGGGTTCTTCCCTCCCCCCTCCCCGCCCCAGTACCTCGAATGCATGGTTTCTCTAGATTTACACCTAGAAAGCAGAGATGTGGTGGGTATTAGACTAACGCTTCTGCCATTAGCAAGGAGCTGCTTGTTCACATATGTGTAAAGCATTTTCCTACCTAACTACCATCTGGTCCACATTAATTTCCTCTCGTAGCCATAGCTTTCCATTACCAATGAGTTTTCCATGTATTTGCAGCATATGGCCCCGGAAATCTTTCTATAGAGAATGTGTCCCCCAGGCACATATTTCCCCTAGATTACTGTATTAAGAAATGTTCTCCCTAAACCATACTTATGGCATTACCATAAAATTGCCCCTTGAACACAGTTAAGTTGAAAGTACTCAAAATGCACATCAATTCAGGTCAAAGAAATCCTTGCTAGTTGAAGGAGAGGGTTTTGTTGTTTGAGTTTTTGTGTTTTTTTTTTATTTTTTTTTTGCAGGGGTGGGGGTGTTCTTTTTCCTTTCTCTACCCTGCTACCCTGTTTTAACTCCTTACAAAGCTATTTCTAACTGTTTGCTTATACTGGACGCCGAATTCTCTCTTAGAGTGAGCACATATGTCACTAGAGCAGTGTTGAATTCAGGAGTGGAAAATAGAGACTCTATTTTAAAGCTCAATGTAAGCAAAAATGGACATAAAGGAAATTTTGTATTCCCTGTTCTCAAGCTGACTTTCCTAGCCCTGTGCTCTTATCTGTCCTCTGAGTGGAGATGTGAGACTCAGAATTGTGAAAACAAAGTTTAGAAGCCAGAGTTTTAAATGAACGTATTTTTAACAGTTGGATAGGAACCAGACTCTTTGAAACAAAGTGGATCTTTGTAGCCTGACCGCTCCAGTGTTCCCAAAGCTTTGTGGTATGGTTAAGTGTTGTGGTTCCATAGAAACCTTTTTAGCTGAGATGAACCACATGGCTGGCGCACTTTCCCTAACTAAGCAAAAATTTAAGATTAAAAGCTGTCTGTAAAATAGATAGATGTTGTCTATAATCTGCCATATGAAAACCTGTGAATCCAACTTCAAATAATCATTTTTAAAGGATAAACTCAGTGCACAAATCATTATAATCTCTCCTTATGGTGGCAAGTATTTTATTTATTGCATACATGATGGTCACAGCCAGAAACTGAAGCCACTTGGGAATTTGTCCTACTTTCTACCAAAAGCACCTGTGACACATTCACAATAGAGGCCATACAGAGATCCTTCCTTTTTCTTTCTTTCTAAGATTCAAGAGATTACTATAGGTCACAAAGCTTATAAAGCCAAAGAATGTTCTTAGAAATCACAAATGGGCTATATTTTATATTTTCTTTCTACCCGGGAGAACAGGGAGATGAGCTTCCTTAAATCATGGTGATAGTTTAGATCAAAGTTCCTGATACCATCTACATTTAACCTTGGGTGAGGGAGGGGAGGCTGGTTTGGTGCCAAGTTTCCTACCATAGCATCTTAACCCGCCACTCTTTCTGAGGTTAACCCATGGTGGGGACTTTGGAGCTCCCAAGCACCCCCTTTCTTAGCTGAACCTTATTCGTCAGGATCCCTCAAAGCCAAGCTCCTGAAGCCACTTTGTTGGACTGAGACCCAAAGGCACTGCCATAATAAGGCACAGGTCAGGCCTCTGTACCAGTGAAAAGGAGGTGGGAGCAGGAGACTGCAGAAAGTGCTTGCTTGTCCTAGAAGGAGGAGCTGCTGGTGCAGAGAGATAGGAGAGTGGTAGGATGCTGGCCTTGCATGCGCTGACCTGCTTTTGATCTCTGGTACTGCATACTTCGGGCACCACCAGGAGTGGTACCTGAGAGCAGAACCAGGAGCCTGCCCTGATCACATCCAGGTATGGCCTCAAGACAACAACAAAAACCAGAACCAGCCCTCTCTGCCCCCAACAGCCCTGCCCCACTTTCACCCTAATGTGGTCCTTTTAGGGAGACCACTCTTCTTTTCCCATGTTGACTATACCGCAGACACAGCCATGCCCGCCCCTGACAAATCCCTCCTCTCCTTTCCCACCCCACCCAAACTGGGCCCTAACAGCATCACCCCCACTTTATGCACAAGGGGAAACGGAGGCCCAGAGAGGCTACAGGAATCCAGAGACAGGCTCTGGCACTTCATGTTCCAGGGGTCTTTTTGCTGAGCTCCCTCCCCACTAGCCTGGCCATTTCTCGGACCATCTTTCTTTTGGTCTGATGGCTTTGGAGGGGGTAGGGGACCCCGAGTCCCACTTCCTGGCTCCTGAGCAGAGGAGATCAGGGCCTGCCCACTGACATCTCCCTAACTGTATTTGTGATGAAAACAGGGCACTCCAGTTCCCTCTTGCCGAGCACCACCACGTCAGACTCGGCGGCTCGCGAGGGCTTTGAGTCTAGGGGAGGCATGATGGACTGGAAGGATCTGCTCCACTCACCGGACAGCACAGACTCTTTGGGGGCAGTGTCGTCCCATAATCACCAAGACAAGAAGGGTAAGGCCTTGGAAACGCCTCTTCCTCTGGGGGGTTGAGGGGGGCAAGCGGGGAGGACTTGTGTAACTGCTTCCAGCTGACACCTACCTAGCCATCTCCAAGGGACCTCCAAGGAGCCGAGAGAGATCAAAAGCTTCTGGGGAAAAAATGAGAATCAGTCCAGTCCCCTCCTGGTCCCTCATTCTCAGCCCGATGTGACATGATGCACTGACCAAGAAGGAACCACACAAAACCCATAGTACATCCTCTGCCCTCAGCTTCCTATACCCCAAGCAGGCTGTGGCCCAGCCCAGAGGCTGGTGGCTGAGATGCCCTTCCCCGTTCAGAGCTGAGTGTGTTATTTGGAATCAGCGTTTGCCACCTCCATGGTGGGCAGGCACAGGCCAGGGCAAGTGAAGGTGACTGCGATAAAGTCCCACTGCCACCATTGTCTGGCCCTTGCGATAAATCAGGAAATACAGGCAGGGCAGGGCAGGGCAGGGCCTGTGCAGGCACGGGAGAGGGGGCAGTTGGAACCCCTCCATGATGCCCCGTTTCCCAGTTTGAATTGGGCCAGAGCCCCAAGATAGGGCTTTCTTCGTCCTTTGGAGGAGGAAAAATATCGTGAGCCGAGCTGCTCTGTGTTTTAAACTGAAAAAGAAGCAGCCCTCGGTGAAAGGGGCTCCACTGTCAACTGTCCTGCTCAGCCAGAGGCAGGAAATGTCATCACTTCTCTCGCCATGCATGGCTTCTGGTGACACATCCTATTTTAATTGCAGCTGCAACCGAAAGAGGCCCTTTACTTGTCCAAAATACACAGTCTTGTAAAACAGGCTGAAAAGCCCAGTTATGTTGTGCTCTCCCCCCCAACCCCCATCAGAACTGTTTCCTTCTATATGTTTCCAAGAATTTCATCCTAACGGGAGAGGGGAGGAGGGGGTCTAGTGTCCGGGAGCAGCCAGCCACCATGACCCAGTAAGGATAAGGCTCTAGCATGCTCTCCCCCTGCCCCCTGCCCCGCGAGCTGCTGGGTGCAGAATCCCTCTTTCCTTTTCCTCAGTGGGTCTCAGGCTGAGCCTCATGCTGAACTCTCTTCCTCTCCTTTGTATCTTACTTTCCCAGAATATCTCACAACTGCTTTCAGAGTCAAGTCAGAAAATAAAGATGTTGAACTGGAATGATAGTCCAGTGGTTAGGGTGCTGGCCTTGCATACAGCCCACCCAGGTTCAACCCCTGGGTGGGGGAAGAACTTGAACTCTCCTTGCTGTCCCTGGCCTGGAGGTGCTATCTGTTTTGTGTGGTTACATGAACCCCGGGGATATATTCTTCTTGACTAAGTTCTCAAGAAGACTTGATGAATTGTTTGTGTTTGCCCACTGTGATGTCTGAAAAGCCAGACAGCCTTTACTGTAGCACATTAACTCTGTCAACCAAACGTTCAGCTTCCAAGAGGGTGGCTAGACTTTCCTTGGTCCTTAAGTCCTTTCCCTACCCCTGCCCTTGGGATGGAGGTTATCAGAGTCCAGTCAACAATTTTGGAGGATCATTTTCAAAACTCGGCCTTGTTCATTCTCTTGGGTCTTGCTAGAAGTATTAATGCAGCTGGGAGCAGTCTACCAAGGGCCAGACAATGGTGGCAGAGGTGGATGCATGGGTGTTCAACATGATCACTGTTTGTGCTATGAACTCCTTGCCTTGCCCCATCAAATTGGAGTTTGTTGGCTTGGGGTTTTTTAGTTTTTGTGGGTTTTTTGAGGGTTTTTTTTTGTTTTGACAATGGAGTATACTTTGATAGGGGCAATGCCAATGAGTTGTTGTGCAGAAATTAAGAAAGGAAAAAATAAAACTGTAGCTGAATGTTTCTTTTTTTTTTTACCATGATTTTGATTTCCGTTTTGCTTCTGAACTGTTTTTTGTTGTTTTTTTAAATTTTTTATTTATCTTTCTGTTGGACCGTCATAATTCGTTGTACATGTTCGTTTCTTTTGTTTTGTTTTGCCCAACACTTTGTGGTATATGACATAGTGGTGGCGCGATCCCGTCGGAAAAGTCTTGTTTCTTTTCTGGCTCCTGTCGGCATGCCCGAGACGCGGCCCCATCTGCTAGTCCCTCGCTTCCTGCCATGCCCTGGTGTGGCTGTCCACCCCGTGTGGCACCCATCTCCCAGCCTCGTCCTCGCTTCCTCCCATGCCCTGGCGTGGCTGTCTGCCCCATGTGGCACCTGTCTCCCAGGAGACTGGTGCTCAGTGGGGCTCTGAGTGCGCTTGTCCCTGGGTTTCTTGTCTCATGGGAATGCGACATGTGTGTGCCCCAGCTTGAGGAGCTAAATATACTCTGGAATTGTTTCTAACATACTGTACATTTCCCTGTGGAGCAGAAAGTGGGTCTGGGGACCAGCTCACTGAGGAGGAGTCAAGTGTCCAGTGCCCTTTAAATTCTGGCCACTTAAAAATAAATTTAAAAGGCTTCAAGGAGCCACACAGAGCCCAGCACTCTGCTCCAGCGAAATGCCAGAGCTCGTTGGGAGTGAGGGGTGATTCTCGATCCCTATCCCCACCACCTCTGCCCAGCATTCTTGCATTTCCAGAGTATATACGCTTGCCTTTTTCTTTTCCCTGCTCCGTCTTCTGTCTTGATTTAATCCTGTGCGTCCCTGTAATCCCATCCTGTCGAAGTGCAGTCCCCGCATCTTGCAATTTAACCTCCTTCTGCTACCATTGCTCTTCGCCTCCCCCTTTCAAAATGATAGATCCAGGCCCTCTACCCCTCTCTGGAACATTCCAAGGCGCTTCCCTTCTCCATGGTGAGCAGCATTCTGCTGCCGTGTGTGTGTGTGTGTGTGTGTGTGTGTGTGTGTGTGTGTGTGTGTGTGCAGAGAGAGTCCTACTAACAGAGCATACGAAGAGACCTGCAGAGCAACCCAGAAGCATTATCACAGAAAATGAAGTAATTTTCTCTCTCAGTAACCAGACTTGCCCTTCATTACCCTCCTGGCCTTGTCTAATGCCTCTTGTCCTTGCTGCTTTTCTTTTCAAATTGCCTGATATCTTCCAAGCCTGAGATTCATTAGTTAAAAACACAGCCAACTGTTCTGTTTTTATCTCTGGGTCCCTCGCCGTCCGGGGCCCCTGGAGCCTGTCCTTTAATCACCAAGCGGATAAATGAGATGCAGCCTCGGCTACTTCTTTCTTGGTTTGCCACATTAGAAAAAAATATAGATTATTTATTCATCCTATAACTATTGAGGTGGTAATGAGTAGTTACAAAGGGGCTCTAATTACAGATGAATGAGAAAGAAAATCCAGTTTATTTTTAGGTTCTGGCTTGCCTCTCTCTACCCTCCCCCCCTTCCCACAGGAAAAGAAATAAGAGCTTTCTTTTTTAGGTTAAGCAATACTGAGAATTAATAGTCACTCTTGTGTCTCTTTGTCTCTAACCATAAGTAACAATACTGTTAAATCTGATTTCCAAGAAAACTGTAAGATATGCAAGGAAATTCGCCATGCACAGACCTGCTAAGGGAGCTGTGTGTATAAATAAGAAATTTAAATGCTGGCTATGCCATGTAGGCACAAGAATTCATTACATCAGAAACCAACCCCTGCCTTCAGAATTTAAGAGTTCTGAGATCTCAGAAAACATGAAATCATCGACATATCAAAAGAGGCTCTCAATGGTTTGAAAATACCAGACTTGTAATGGACGTATGTACTTTGGGAAAGCTTTAAAGTGATATAGCAGTCCACTATCACATTTAGTCAAGAAGATAAACTCGTTACCAGATGAGGAAAAAGTTGGGGGGAAAGAACTTAAATTGCAGAGCGAATGAATAATTTTAAAATATAAAGGTTGAAAGTGTTTTCATCTGAGTACAAGCTCATTGTATGTGTGATTTCTAGCCAGGGAAATAGTATTCACAAGGTCAATAAAGGAAGATGAGTATACATTGTCTACACTTCATAGTAATCCTGAATGGAATCATATAAATCCAGCTTATTAACAACCCTCCGGAGTGTCATTTCTTGTTCAAATGCATTGCATTGCCTTCAAGTGAGACAATCAACATGGGAGACTTTAGGATATCCTGGCATTCGAAAGTATGACTAGTGGTAGAAAGCTACGCCTTTTCTCATTTGTCTTTCAAGTATTTTTGGTTATGTCAGAAGAAAAGCGCAGGTCAGTGTATCATCATGAACAACTCTAAACTGTTACTTTAATGTCCCCTTTGACCACCAAGTACCGGTTCTTTAGTAAAGGCTTAGCCTTGCCTCTAGAATTAACTTTTTTCATTTTAACTCTTTTAACCTTTCACCGTCTCAGTTTCTATGTGAAATATGCTGTAAAGGTGATTGAAATATTAATAGAAATGGAGGATGTATGGGCACATAAAATTGCTAAGCACTAAGGTTTGCTGATGTCACTGAAATGACAGAGTGACTAAAGATTGGGTGAAAAACTTTTTCAGCAATGAAAAAGTTCAGTAAGGATTCACCTACCATAAAAACTTTGCTTCTGGCATTCGGAAGAAGATCTTAATCACCACCAAACTTTCTTTTGTCTTGGCCCCGGATGATTAGATCCATCACTCTTAAGCACCACTGTTAAAAGCGTGATGTAGAGATCTTCTGATATCTCTCCCAGCTGCCTGAGCTTTGTGATTGGGACTGGGATGTCTGATCAAGTAGGAATTCAGAGTACAATGGGTTTGTACTGCAAAGAAATGACTCATTTGAGGCTCGTTAAGCATCTGGCAAGATTTCTCTGCACACCAGCCATGAGCACCCAAGTTGCTTATTACCCAAATTGTGCTCTCGTGGAGTGTTACCTACAGCACTTCCACTTCCTGTCCTTACAAGAATCCCTGCGTGCCTGCATGTTTCCTTGGCCTGGCAATGCCCTGCACTTGACCCTTCCCTCCCTCTCTGCTCACTCAGACTTTATCTACTCTGTACCCAAGCCCTCTGAGGCAGGCTCTTACACACACACACACACACACACACACACACACACACACACATAC